ATATACAGTCGGACCTCTATTTAACGAAGTCGCTAAATCCCGAAAAAAAGTTCGTTATATGGAAAATTCGTTAAATAGAAAATCATCTTTTGAAATACTTACACAACGTAGAATAGGTTTTAAATTCATGGATACTAGAAATAATTAAAATTGCAATTGATGCACCTTTATCTTGTAATTTTTTTCTTTAATAGTCAGGCACTTTCGCTTCGACATTTTGCAGCCGTAAGAAAAGCAACAAGCAGCACTCTGATCAGCAATCTTAAAACAGGAGCTCTACCGAGTGAGCAACGAGAAAGTTGAAAGTTTTTCTAGAAAGGAAGTGAACAGTGGGGGTGGAGATAATAGGACATGTCAATAAGGGACCAGGGACCACACACTTTGATGACCCATTCCTTTTATCTTCTCTGCTCATTTCCTATTCAAGGAATTTGACCCTTTCCCCCCTTTTCTAGTGGGATTGCATTTCCTGTATGAAATGCAAACAAAAAGGGAAAGGAATTTTACTGCTTTCTCTAAAAGTTAAGGGGATGCGAAAATCAGTTCAAGGTTATTTCCCTCATAAAATGCATTAACTAGTTAATAATTTTTCTCAAATATTTTGGGAAATGGGGAAAGTAGATCTAAAAAAAAAAATTCGTTAAATAGAAAATTCATTTAACGAAGAAATTTCCAAAATGTTCTTGGTTCCACGAAAAAATTCGCAAAATAGAGAAATTCGTAAAATGGAAGTTCGTTAAATAGAAGTCCGACTGTATTATTTTTTTAATTTAAACAAGGTGGAATAATTTAAAATAATTAATTAAACTTAATCATACAATTAATTTTAACAATACCATTCAATGTGCAACCATTTAATGTATTTTTACTGCTTGTTAACACAAAAAACAGGTTCATTCCAGACCATGACAAATCTGACCGGGCTTTTAATACCAACAAAATTAAATTTATAAGAGTCAAATTGCTGATAAGTTTTTAAAAAAATTTATTAAAAGGTAAGAAAAAAAGTACTTTACAACAACGATATTTGTCATTGATTCATATCCTATTTACATATCATTTTATTGTACTTATGATGAAAAAGTTACGAGTTAACTAAAAATGAAATGTTTTAAGAAAATAAAAATTCCTGTAGCTTGAGCAAAATGATATATATTAAGACAGAAAAATTAGGTCGAAAATAAATTTTATTCGCTGAAGCTACGGGTGACAAAGATCTATTAAAACATTAACTTAAAATCCCAGTGCAGTATTTTTTTTTCTTTTTAGTGTAAATTCAAATTTTTAAACACAGAATTTTTTTTTATTTTATTGCTTAATTTAAAAATTGCATGCCTTTTCTAAGTTATTTAAGCGAATAGAGACTATATATACATATATATTTGATGCCAAATATCAGAAATAAGTTAGTCAGCTGAAAGTTAAGATACAATATTTCAGAGCAAAAGATAAATAAAAAAATCAGAGAAAGGAAAAAAATTATTACACTTAGAATGTTGGTCACATAGTGCAGCTGCTCGCATATCACACAAACGAATAGTTCCCTTACTACTACTATACACAAAGACATTACATTGAGAAGGATGAAACTCTGCTGCAGTAATTACTTCAGTAAGTTCTTCCATATTAGTTGGTTTGATATCAACAATATCTAAGATTAATTATAAGGAAAGTACAAGACTAGTTATTTAAAAAATTGAACACATAAATTAAGATTTATTAATTGACAAAATTACCAAGGAGATCAGTTTTTTTCCAGTTGATAGATACTACCGGGTATGATTGTGATTCAACGTGGAAAACTCGGAAAATTTTATGTGCAAAAACTCGATAATAAGTTACTAATTTATATACTATACATGTTTAATATAATTTTTTGAACTAAGATTAAGAATTAAATTACCTATCAATAAAGAATCACACATTCATACCCAATTTAAAAAAACTCATGTGAATTTGAATTGAGGTATTGCTTTTAAAAACATGCAAATATAAATTGCGATGCTGGATTTTTAAATTATGTTAATATGAGTCGCATTGTACGATTTTAAAATCACACGTATACGATTCACATTGCGCAAATTTTAAATCAAGTAAATACAAAATTCCGTGCTTAACATTAAAATTGCGTAAATATGAATCTCAATATTAGCTGATTGCAACGTAGTTTCATACATTAACAATGGCAAAAATCCAAAAATGCAATTTAGCAAAAGTTTTAAATTTTAAACAGCGGAACTTTAATCTTACTTTAAATTTCAGATTGCAATGAAAATTTTGTTGGATAATAAATATTGCTCTGTGGAATTCCGTGAAAAAAATCGCACATCCTGCTTCTTGTTTCTAGACCTAGAATGATACGAAAAAACCTGGAATTCGTACACATGGAATACAATTAAAATTGATTAACTGTTGCCAAGTAAAATTGATTAACTATTGTGTAGAATCGTGCATTTTTCTTTTACATGCAAGCATTGCTATATCAGTTGTTAAAATATATAATGATTATGTGGCTTAAATGTGAGATTGGCTGTTTAAAAAAATAAGTTCTCTGTGAGGAAAAAAATAAAATGACTTTCTGAACAACCCAATATATATTTTCAAGTTCTGGATATGATTTGTAATAAGTAACTCTTAAATATTAACTATAAATTTTAAATTGTAAATGGTAAGAAAACATAATTATTTTTATTTAAACTTACATAATCATTAAACTACCAAGACTTTTCAATAACAATAAAGGATACTAAAACTTTGGTCTGTAATTTCTAGATGCCATAAATTAATTCGTAAGTCATCAGCAGAGAGATAGGTTTCTTGATCGCTGTTGACAGATATTGAATTTATATGGTATGTATGAGCATTAGCAAAGATTCTACGAGGGCTTGCTTCTACCATTAGATCCATGGGCCTTACATTTGGTACACGCAAGTTAGTAATAGACATTGGGTCTTTCACATGACCCGTCTCGTCTTTCAGATTGTAACCCTCGATTCTCTTATCTCTTTCAGATACTTTCCATAATTTAATAGTTTTATCTGAAAAGACAAATTAGCAGTTGAAGTACAGAAAGCTAATAAAAACAAAGGATAAGAATGATTAAAGAGTTGAGTAACAGTAAAAATATTTAATGTTAAAACAAGTACTTTTGCCAGAATTTCAAAGTTACTGTGAATTGTTAAAAAATTGAGTTCTAGGCACAACTATCAATTGTTATAATAACACATAAGATTTTAGCTCCCTTTTAAGAGAAAGGGAATTTTAAGATACAATGAAGAAAAGAAAAAAGGTTTAAATAGTTCAAGTCAGTCTACAAAGTCCTAAGTACAGTAGTAGTCTTTACTTTTCAGAAATAAATAATCAGAATTTAAAATACCACTAAACTAAGAATATAAAATAAGCATTTGTAAAAATTTAAGTTAAGTGAGATAAGTACATAAGAAGAAAATACTTACGTAAAAAAATAAAAAAAAATAAAGACAATACAACTTAATACAAGAAGCTTGAAATTTAGTAATAGTAAAAAAAAATTCACCTGATAACAATTCTTTTAACAGTAAAAAAAAGCTAAGAAAACAGAGACATCTTTCATTTTAATAATTTTTAGCTTATTAAAATAAAACAATAAACATTAAAAGCATTGTAAACACCTAGAAGATTAAATAAAATTTTTAAAAAAATTATAAACCTTTAGAAATTACATTTAAAAAAACCTGTATGAAATCGAAGAAATTAGCAATCAGAATGATATTCTAAAAACTAAAACAACATATTTGGTAAAATAGAAAGTCTCTAAATATGAGAAAAAGCTGATTAATTCTCTATTTCTTTTATCCATCTATTATTGCATGCATTTATAAATACTAAATTAATTGTATGACAAAATAGGACAAAACTTACATTTTAACAATCAAGGCTCTAACATCTGCTCCAATAAAATAGTTTTATTTTATAAGTTTCAGTTAATTTAACTCATAGCTTTTTATATGCATCTGGTCAAATGGTTATGACAGTTGAACTTTACAATTCGATGATTAAAAAAAAAAAAATAATAATCTTTTAAACTTACCATTCGTTGAGAGAAGAAAATGAGCTGGATTTTTACGTTTCAACCACCTAATTTTATTGATTTTCTCTTCAATCTCTAAACTTTTTAGATAATCAAATTCAGGTTCATGGCTTTGAAATGTACTGTAGACATTATATTCTCCTCTTTTGGGAATAGAAATCTGGGACTAAAAAAAAAATTATAAACATATTTAACACATGATGAAAATAATAAATTTTATAAACTGCTTATAAAACAACATTTTAACACGTTTGTTGCCAATCTTTTGCCAGCGTACGATAATCTCTAAGGTTGTATCCTGCACTGTCTTGCATAAGAGCAGCAGTTAACATGCTAATGTACATTTAAGAATAATAATAAAAGATTAACATCTAATAAAATAGACAGAAAAACAACAGGAAAAATTACTTTACTTCGATAAATCTATATATCAACGGACTTACTAACACAACTTTGCACACTTAAGTTAAAAGTTTATGACAATTACCATTAAGCTATTTAGCAAAATATATATAGCACTTAGAAAAAAATTATTTTCATATAACTACTAGTAAATTATGACTAATACAAGGTAATAACTTTAACTGCATTGTGATTAATATAGTGGAACATATAAAGGGTATGAAATAAGTGACAAAAGGATTAAACACAATGGTTGCTTAAATTAAGTTTTTGTAAATAAAGTCTTCTTAAAAAGAAAATATACAAAAACTTAATTTCACAAACCAATTTACTGCCGTTAAATTAAAAGAACTCTTCCTAAAAATAATTTTATTTCATTGTTTTTCTGTTCTTATGAAGCGTTTCTGTTTATATTGTCTTTCTATTCATATCATAAGAATGAGTCATATTTAACTGACTGTAAAAAACATAAGTAAGGTTTCTATTTATTATTATTATCAATGAAGTCAAAGTAAAAGAAATAAAAAATTTCAGAAATTCATTTTCCTACATCTTGCAAAAACAATGCATGCATAATTATTTACATAATTATAAAGCCTTTGTGAAATTGAGTAACTTTCAATCGCTTATTTTACAGGGTGCATAGCCATATCTTTGAATCAAAAATAAGCACTTTTTAAAAACTTTTCAAGCACTTTACAAAAATTTTCAAGCACTCAAAAAATTCATATTCAATCAATGATATGATTGAAAAACAAAAACTTTTTATTAACAGTTTAGTTTATTAACAGTTAAAACTTTTTATTAACAGTAAAAGAAACGGGCGTTAATCGAAACAATCAGTACTTTCCCACATCACTGAGAGAATTCAACTTGACCCTGAACTCAGAACAAAAGTACCCTTGCCCCCTACGTCAAAAAAAGTGTTAGAAGTAAAATAAAATAAACAAGAATAAAATGAAAATAAATTAAAAAGAAAAACATTTCATAAGGATCTGATATTCTCTATCGGAATTGGAGCAATCGGGTTTCGCAAGTGTCGTCCAAGTGTGCGCGCATGCGCAAGTCATAACGTGGGTACCTTTAAGCACTTTTTACAAACGCTACGCACCCTGTTTTATTATTATTAATTTTCAATGAAAAATAGAAAGAGAAAATTTTTTTAAGCTTTTATAATCATCAATGAAAATCAAGCTAATAAAAGAAAAATCTGAAGATCCTGTTTCTTATCTTAGTAACAAGAGAAAGTTTTGTTTTAATAATTAGCCTTGTTAAAAAAATCAGGCACAACACTTGTAGTTAATAAATTAGGATACAACTGTTAATTTCTTTTAATAAGCACATTATTGTAGTTCAATATTAAATTTCTTCCCCTCAAAACTTTTTTAAAGTTTTGAGTTTCTTATTTTTTTAAGTCCTATTTTTATTTAATTAAAACTTGACAATTTTATATAATTTAACAAAACAATTCTATGATTATCATTTAAATGTAAATGGGATCTTAAAAACCATTTAATAATATTTTTTTCAATAAAATTAGTTACAACTTTAACCCTATCTCAATGAAGCAAAATTTAAATATTGTTAGCTCATAATTGTAGATGGTAGTAATTTAGTTTAATTTATACACAATATTTTTTATTATAATTCTTTTTTTTTATCAGCGTAGTGGAATTCTTTTTTTTCAGTCACAAAAATTAAAGCATGCTAAATTTATATTCCATTTTGTTTCAAGTATAAATTTCTAGATGTACGTATATATATATATATAGTCGGACTTCAATTAACGAACATCCTTTTTAGCGAATTTCTCTATTTCGTGATTTTTTCTTTTTTAACACTTCATCGGGCGCGTTGATCTGACAGATACAGACGTGTCAATATCTCTGCTTTTGTCCCCTGAAACATTTTCTTACGACCTTGACCTTATCAGTATCTGTCCATCTGGCCCCCTGCTACTTTGGAATGCAGTAGTGACCAGTTCGGTGTAGGAGTATTTCCTGTTTCTAAGCTTGTTTGAAATTTTGTATCTGTTAGATACACGCGCCCGATAACGTTTGTCTCGTGAAGCTACATGGAAGTATCGAGATTCCCTGAGCGTTTTTGATTTATCTTTTTCCTACGATGAGTGCTAAACGCTTTTTAGATTTGAAAAATCAGAAAGACCTAGAGCTAGTTCATAGTATTCTATTTAGTGATGGAAATGAGGAATTAAATGCTGAAGAATTTGATGAAAGTGATGCTGACGAAGAAGATATTTTAGAAACACGTGAAGTTGATTGTCATGGCAGTAAAAGTGTTTATAATGACTCAGAACTCGATGATGATGTTAATAATGATGATTTTTATGTAGGAAAGGACAATAATACTTAAATGGGCAAAACAGATCGGAAGAAAAAATTTGACTTAAATTTAGAATCGGATTCAATTATAATAATTGATTTGTCACTTTTATATTATGTATTATTTGTGCATAACTGTCCTTTTTATACTTTTTCAACAGTTTAACATGTTTAATTAAATGTTTTTTACAGCATTTAACTTTTGTAATAGCGTTTGTGATTAATAAATAAAAATTATTATTGAAAATATTAAAAAATATATAAAAATTAAATAAAAATTAAAAATATACATAAAAAACTAATAAAAGGTCCGGGTGTAAAAGCCTGGACCTAAAAAGAGTAAAAATAGGAGATTTAAAGTAATACATATTAACAGAAAACACACAAAACAGAGATGTATCTGACAGATACATCGCGCCCGATGCCGTAAGTTTCGAGACGCGCCCGACGGAGTGTTAAAGAACCAAGAACATTTTGGAAATTTCTACCTAAAATAACTTCCAAATAGCAGAGTGAATTTTCTATTTAACCAACTTTTCTTTGAGATAATTCCCAATTCCTTATTTCCAAAACATTTCAGAACATATCAAACTTGTTAATGCATTTTATGGGGGAAATGACCTTGAATTGATTTTTTGAAGCTACTTAACTTTAAAGAGAAAGCAGTAAAATCTTTTTGCCTTTCAAACGAAAAACTAAATACAAAATTTAACGGATTTTATCAATAGCAATTAAACTTAACATGTGCGTTAATGTATGATTAAAATTACTTTTATAATAAATGCAGCGTAACACTGGATAATGTTTTGCTTTATTCGTGCCTTCCATGCAGATTTCTTTTATGGTTAAGATTTATAAACTAAATAGTAACTGCTAGTTCACAAGATAAAGGTGAATCAATTGCTATTATAATTATGTCTAGTGTTTATGGATTTAAAACCTGTTATGTGTTGCTTAAGTATTTCAAAAGGTGATTTTCTATTTATCGAATTTTCGATATAACTAACTTATTATCAGGATTTAACGACTTTGTTAAATAGAGGTCAGACTGTATATATACATATGTTTGTAATGGAAATAAAATTAATATCTATATTTTTAAAAAAGTGTAGTTTCATAATTTTTTTAAAAAATTATAAAACTACATTTTATAAAACACTCTTTTTACCTTTCATTTTAATGACTCAATATCTTAAGTGCTCAATTTATTCTTTATTATAATTTAACTAGTTAAATTTATATATATATATAAAGAAACTTTTCAAATGAAATGTTTTAGTTAAGGTGACATTTTCACATCAAACTGTTCTACATAGTATTTTATATATATGTATATAATGTACTTTAGAAGTTTTGTACTTTAAAGAAGTTTTGAAATTTTTACTAGCTAACAGATGAATACAAAACACCTTATTACTGACATTAACATGGGAAAGTGCAGATTTTCATTGAAAAAAAATAATCTCACAACAATTTGAAAATATGGCTTATTTTATTTCACTAAACTTTTCTCATATTCAAATCATTTTAACAATAAAACTGAGAATATAAAAAGTATACCAGAGGATCACGTTGAAATATTACAACACGGCCACCTTTGTCTCCAGTAGCTAAAAGATTTCCATCATGATTGAATTCAACGCATGATATTATGTCAGCTAAAAAAATTAAGAGAAAAGGAAACATTCAAAAAGTACTTCAATCAAAAATATCAAATAGATATATGTTACTTTTATTTTAAACTAATAAAGTAGTACAAAATATTTATTTTCAGCGCCACTTAATTATAATCTCACAATTTAAACTTTATATGACAGATAACACTAAGAGCAACAAAAAAAACTTCAATAAGTTCAAATTCGCGTAATAAAATCTATCTTGAATGCATTCAGAAAAATTAAAATATCTTACTAATAACATAATACCAAAAAACGCACATTAACGCATCTAACAAGTAACTGCAAAGACAGTTTGTATCATCGACTGTCTAATAACATGTCTGTCTAAAGTAAACATAGTAAGGTAGCGTTGAAAACATTAAAAATAATTAAATAAATAAACTAACATTACATTTTTAAAGCTTGTAATAATATAAGAATCAATATTTTCAGAAACAAAGGGACCGTTTACACCTCATCTGATCATGTCAATTACAATCACAAAAGTGACAAATGGTTTTAAACGTAAATTTATTTTTTTTAAACATGCAAAGGTTTGTGGATGGTCATATGCAAGTCTTCTCTTTTTTCCCCCCTGAATTTCTCACTGGTCACAACCTGGAAGACGCCAAAACTTCATTATTTTCAAGCAGAAATTGATGCAAAAATCTTCTTGAATTCTAATTGCATATCATATGAATTTTCAGTTTAATATGTCAGTTAAAATAAAAAAAATAGAATTTATACCTTGCTCTAGAATATAATCATTACAAATTAAAGTCAGATATTACAAAACTTTGCTTATCACCAAATTAATAAAAAATAAAGCAAATATCTTTATTCTTTTGCATTCAAGCCGATTAATTTTCCATAATGATAATAACTGATATACACCTTATAAAAATTTAATATTAAATAATCTTATAAACATTTTAGTTACCATGACTTAAGAATTGACAAAAATTAAGAAAAATATTTCTTATACCAAAAGACAAAACCAATGAAAAATTAAAATCTACAAGCAAATTTTTGAACAGAATTAAAAAAACACTGAACCAAAACAAATCTCAAATAATTTATTTAGTATTGATTGCTGTCATAAATTTGTCAAATTTGAAAAGCAAATTCTGTAATAGTGACCAAGTTATTTAAAAACTATAAAGTAAACATTGACAAGTAAACAAATAATCTTAATACTAAGCGTCAGATCTCTTAAATTTGAACCTAAAAATTATTCTAGATAACAACTCACTTCCATAGAATAATACAATAGAATCTCGACATGGTTTATTTGTCATAATATTACTAAAGTTGCAAAACATGGGAAATCGTGAAAATCTATAGACACAGACATTAAATGAAGGACTTAATTTGTAAACAAAATAATCCCAAATAAAATAACATGAAAAATTTTAATTGTCATCAATAATTTTATGATAAACAACAATAACTTACCCTCTGTTATCTCATCATCAAGAGTTCCTTTGACTTGAGAAAAACTCCACTGAATATCTCCATTTCCTATAACAAAATAGAGTAAACGTTTTAAACAATCACTTTAACTTATCAAGAGTCTGTAAACAACTCTAACGGAAAATAGGATTCCAATTAAATAATGTCGATAACATTATTGACGTTAAGGTGATCAGTTTCACTGACATTTCGATTGATTATTCTGTCTATTTAAAAGGAAATCGGATGAAAAATATGGGTAATATTTACCTGCCATTATAGGGAAATTTAATTTCCCTGAATTGTTAATGAATATTCGTTACAAATTATGATTCTTCCGGCATTTGTATCCATCAAATTCAACAGCACATTATGCAGAAAATGGCGTTCATTTTCGGTTGCCACTCTTATTTCTGACAAATAAAACTCAAGTACGAAAAATAACCAATAAGGTACATCCGCACTGCTATAAGCAATTTCTGCATGATTGTGAGGAATAAAATGAATGGGACAAATTTCTAAATTTCATGATACAATTCACAATGATAAAAATTACGCATAAATAAGTTACATATCATTTTAGAAGTTCTTATATCTGTAATTAATACTATGATTGGTTCAACTAACCTCATATTTTTGTATCTCCTAGACGGAGTTCAGAAGTGCCTCAACCGCATTCGGTGAAAATGCTCCTAAGAGCAGAACCATTGACGGCGAATGGAGGTGATTGAATCGTATACAATAAAGATGCCCCTTAAAGGACAGTGATTACGAAACACAGTGTATATTTAATTATACAGAGACTTTCGTTGCATTCCAAACATTATTTCCTGGTTGATAGGGCACTGGGTCCATGCCCAAGAGGTCATAGGTTCGATCGTCGCTGGCTGAAGACTCCCCGTGTAGTAAAAGGTGATGGATGCACGTTAAATCTATCGAGTTGCAAAGTCCTCCATGTTTCCATAGCAAATCATGCCTCTGGGGTACTGATCCAGGAATTTCCTTGTCTTCTGGATTGGTTCAAAATTAGTAGGCTACGGAGTTGAACATAAGTTGTCGTAAACCCAAAATTGGGTCGGCTGTTCAATGACAGTTATAAAATAAAATATTCCTCCATTCATAACTTCCCTCCTCCATACGCGGAAGTTTTGTGCTTATGAATTCCTAACAGACTTTGAGGATATGGGATGTGCACAGAACTTAAAAGGCAATATATCTGTTATTAATATTTAGTTTTAAAAGAACTTTTTATTAATGTTTCTGTACTCATTATCAATATTTGCATTATTATCATTATCAGTATTCATTAAATCAAACAATGAACAGTTTATCACCACGGTATCCGTTTACAAGGGGCATTTAATCGATACACGCTAAAAATATAACATTGTAATATTTTGATTTAAAAAATATTTAAGAATATTTATTTGGAAACGATAAATTCTTACAAACAAATAGTTTCTGCATAAAAATAAATTTAAAACATGAATTTTAAATTTTTTTGAATATTTATCGTTCTTATGTTTTTCTCATTTGATTTAATAAACCTTGTCCAGAGAAAACATTTTAAAAATCCATATAATCTAATCCACGCACCTCAGCATTCTTTTATCCAAGCAATTTAATGAACCATTAAAGAACCTAATTTGCCAAGCAGTTTAGAATAAGAATTTTTCAGCTTCTATGAATAAATAATTAAAATATGATGTTCTGACCTAATTTAAAAAAAAAAAAGAGAAAAAACGCTGTTTGTATTATAAAAATTCGATTACAAGATTCATAAACTAAACTTAACTCAGTGGTGTGACAGCCTATAGAATTTGGGCAAAGTAGCCAAGGCCTACTGTGCCTATCTCAGTTTTCTTGACCTTGGGCTCTGGGATGCAGGAGCAGATGTTCCGGTTAGGTGGTCAATCGAACGCGGAACCCCCAGTGTTTAGTTTTCAATCATGTTTGGTACTCATTTATCGACCCACTGAAGGGATGAAAGGCTGAGTCAACCTTGCCCGGACTGAGGATCGAACCCTGGACCTGTGGCACGAGAGTGCGAAGCGCTACCAATACAAGATTCATAGATTGGAACTTTTTCTTTTCACTTAAGACGTTTTAACTTAGCTAATTAAAAATATCGCATTTCTAAAGAGGGGCATTAAGGGAAGTTTTTTCCATGTGCCCAAATTCAACATCCCGCTGTTGATGTACCAGAGAGGAATTTACGAGTTGGAAGAAGGTAGCGAGTGTGAACAAAAGCTGAATAACTATTCGAAAGAGATACTTTGCAAAAGATACTTTATCCTTTGATTTTGGATTCAGTTATGCATAGAAGCGTTTTGATTATAAACTTCAATTAGTCAGATCATAATTTCCTTTAAAAAAAAATAATAACATTTTTCAAATTTAATTCATTTTCCAAACACATAGACAGTATCCCTCATTCCGCTAGCGAGGTCTGAAATTTGAAAGCCTTCCTTCCATACGACCCTAATTTAATCTACTGTTGCTAATTTTTTCAATTAATTAGAGGTGTATTTTTTAACCAAAATTTTAAAATTACTTTAAAAATATAAATTTTTCTCATTTTAAAATTAGCCATATAAATTAGTTTAGAGTGCTTTCTTATAAACTAATTTTTAGACTTGTCATATAATTATTTAAGTATTTATTTCTTTATTAACAGTTGAGATTAATATTATCAGAAATAGTAAAAATGAAACTTTAAAGGGAAAAAATTTGTCTTTTGACTTTGAAGGTTGAAAATAATTGCTATTCAAGGTCATTAAATTTAATTCTATAGAATTGATCTAATTTCATTGTTATAAGTCATCTAAAAAAGAAAAAAAAATTTCTTCTTCTTCTGATCGAAATTTGAAAACAAATTAGAATGTTTCTAGAATAATGAAATAAAGAGTTTGCTTATGTGTACGCTTTTCTTATAACCTCCAAAATGTTTGCACTTGGATTCTGAAATTCGGACAGTGAGTAGAAGGGATAATTTTTACTCCCCCCCCAATTAAAAAATTGTTCGAGAATAACGTTAAAAATACAATTTTTTATCATAACATAACTATTAATCCCAGTTGCACTTTAAGTTGCAGACACTTTTCTTGTCAACAGCTCTTTCCACTGGGTTTTAAAACGAGTTTCAATGGGAGTTCATTTCATGCTCCATAATAATTCATTAACTTTGATTCTTTTTTTAAATTTTTTATGTCACTTCAGCGTAAGTAAAATTATCGAAGACGCGTGGTGATGAGTCACTGAATTAGTGTTTTGAAGGATATTTCAAACCACATGTTTATAGTTAGGCTTTCAAAGCGTATAAATTGCGTCACAACTAAATTATGCTAAGTCAATGGGCATTGAAAAAAAAAACATATTTATATACTTAAATGCACATTTCATTGGGAAAATTGCTTGATGGTAATAAAAATTTACTATATCCGTTAATATAAAATCATTAGGAAAAATGACAAATAATAATAAAAAGAAATGTAAATTATGTAACTATATGCGCCTTTCAGTTTTGCGATTTTGTAGCTTTTTCCATTTAAATCAAATAATAATGAGTTAAAATTTTTTTTAACATCATATTAAGAACAAGTTTTTAGCTAGCATTGAAAATGATTCCAATTAATTCTAACAAAAATTATGTTGATTAAATCAAACTAATTGTTACGTTTTTCCTTGATTTTTTTAGAAGTAATGTTAATAAAAATGCTTACAAAATATTTTTTTCTTCAATTAGGAAAAAAATATTTCGTAGTATAGCAAATATTTCAATATTACTCCAATGTATGACTCTAATAAAAGAATAATATTGAAAAATATTGTTACAAATTGTTGTTTTCTAATCCCATAAGGTTATAGCACATATTTTATGTAATATTTTTTAAATTTTATTATAGAGTATATAAATTTTGATATAAAATTTCAATAAAGAGTCGATAGAGTATATGTCATTCTGAACATGAAATACAATCAAGAGTTCTAATATGTATAATTTAATCATCAAAAATAAAATTAATTATTTCCTTAGAAATAAAAGAAGTCAAATGTTCATAATATGCTGGCGACTTTGAAATTTAAAATTTTTCTTTTGTTGACAAAATAGCAGATGTGTTAAAAAACAGCAACAATTTGTAATGAACAAAAATATTTTATTATGTTGTATCTAAATATGATTTTATCTTCCTTTCCTAGAGAGAAATGGATAATTTACAGCAAGAAATTTGCCCACATTGAGCTTATTTCTTAATGTGCATCAGATGCCAGATATCATAGTGTGAATATTTTAATGTTTGGAAAAGTTGACTTATACTCCAAAAAATACAGAATTAATATTTATCTCTGACTAAATGAAAGAAAAATTTGTTTAAGGTAATACCATTTTTAATTAAATGTTACAATAAAATATTACATAGATATTAAAAAGATTAAATTTATATTTATTAAAAAAACAAAAGTTTAAAAAAAAATTATTTCATTAACATGCAAGATATTATCATTATTTATTTAGGATTTTTTTATTTTTATTTGGAAATATAAAGCTGCATTATAACTACATAATAAAATTAAACTTCAATCAGGCGATTTCAACAAACACAAGCTAACTCTAATCATACGGGATGAAAAATTATTAAAATGTAAAAATATTTCTTAAAATTGACATTTTTAATTTTTATTGAAAATAAATGAACAAAAATTTGTAGGAAAATTAACATGAACTATTTTGTAATGGTCTTATTAAAAAATTTTGTTTCAAGCTTTACTAAAAAATAGGTTTAAAAATAAAGAAATAAAATATTTAAATGTTAACATAATAATTTAACAATATATTTTATTTTACAAACAAAACATTAATTACAAATATTATATACACTCATATGACATTAGAACGTATTTTACATAATGCGGAGAGATATATTTGATGATGATTCATTCACACTATCAAATTGCTACTATATAATGAAAGGAGTAAGTAATGAAGACACATTCACACAAATGCATGGCAAGTACATAATGCACGAATCAATCAGTGAATATTTAATCATACATTGGCATGGCTAGTTCTTCGTCTCATAGCAGCTCTCAGGCCACAGCCCAGATGATAATGAGAGCTACGAGAGGTAATGAGACTCGAGGCTAAAGTCATTCGAACAACTGATTGAGCTCCACCTGGAAGTTGTACAAGTATCGTTGTTATTGCACCATAACCATCTGATAATGGTTCAACTGCTAATGGCCTTAAACAAAGTTTTTCATCTACAAGCTTTGGAGAATCTCTACCATGTGCTTTAATATACTTTAATTTCTTCCGATAATTACTAGGTGAGCAGAGGAAGAACTCTGACGAATCATCAGGCTCATCATCTATGATGGTCAATATATGCCCAAATGGACGGCTTGCCATGTGTTTCATTTCTGCAGCATGAAGGCGCCTTGCACGACGGACATCAAAGGCTTGTTTTATTTTCCAACATACCACACAGCCAGCGAGGAACAGGAAGAAACAAGAGAAAAAGACAGAGAAAAACACAAAGAGATCGATTCTTGTTTGGTCTTGTCTGAAAAATAAACTACCAAAGGTTTCTCGCTTTGCACCGCGCAGTATCATGTAAAATCTTGTGGTGCGTAAATCATGAACTTCTTGAGGTATGGTGACAATAAGCCTGTTTTCTAGATTCCTAATATACAAAAAGTCTTCGCACTTTTTAACGTCAATGTAGGTCGTTAATCCCTCTGCATCACCGATTTTTGGATGAAGTGTTTGGGTGGGGGATGATTCAGTGATATTGCTGTATACCCCAGAATCACTGTCTGCTTCCTCACGTTTTTTCCGCTGCATAGCTACTGAGAACTCAGATGCTGTCTCATATTGGCTCATATCGCGTTCGTACATTCCATATTTACCATCGATGTATATTTGATGTAATCCGGAAGGCTTTTCGACCTCTACAATAAATGCATCTTCTTTTGCAGAAAGGAAGAAATCAACACCTCCACTTGTAACATCCACCACAATCCTGATGTCAACGTTCATGTACCTCGGCTGTACAGCAAAAAAGACTGTCTGGCCATAATGTAGAGGATTTGGAATTCTGTTGCAATCTCCTAGAAAAGTATTTATGGCTATTTTTAGTCTAACTATTTGAAACATAGATTTTATAATGGAAACATTAATAAAAATTGAAACAAGGTTACAAGTAATTTATTGTTTGTTCTAATTTTTAAATAGTGTACAGACTATTTTAAAAAAGGCATAAAATTTTTGATGATCAGCTCATATTCCAAGCACACATTAGTATAATGTGGAAAGATTGCAATGATCAAAATATAACTGTCACCATATAAATTTAAAAAAAAAATAATTTACAAATAAACAAAATTTTATCCTATATGTAATAAAACATTAAATAATAATATTAAAACATTGTAGTGTACAAATCTTAGCTTTTAAAATCCTTTTACGTATCACTTTTATAATAGCAAGTACTGTTACTGTTAAAACAGTAAGTATGATATTTGAATAAGCATATGCAATTTCAATGGTTACTTTGATTTTCAAACATGCATTAACAAAATACTAGTCAGTGACATTACTTTTCTACTTTTATGAAAGGAATTTTATATAATTATAAAGATTATTTTTCTGGAAATATAATAGCTTAAAGAGAGGCAGGATCACAGGGTTCTGTTTAGGCATTGGCTCCATTACTCCCTGCTTATAACATAGCAAACAATGCATTTTCATGTCCATTATCCTCCACGGCTTCACGTGCATACGTATAAAAATAAAGAGACAAAAAATTTAAGAAAAGAGAAATTTTCAAAGAGAATTAGGAATTAATACGTTTCATTAACTGCTAAGTCATTTTCATTAACAAGGAAAGAAACAAAAAAGGAAAAATATTTTTTAAAAGAGAAGAAGAAAAATAATTAACAATAAAGTAATTTTATTAGTAATAAAAAATTATTTAATAATTCTCTTTCTTTAAACAATATTTTTCCTTTGAATAACTTTTTTTAAAAACTTAAAAAAAAGGGCATTCCTTTGTTTTTCAAAGATTTAAGTGAGGGTCGGAAAATTGAAAGTAATTTCTCTTAAAAAAAATTGCATAAGTGACATGAAATTATGCTACCTTGAGTTGAAGGATCAAAACAGTATTCTTTGTCTAAATACATATGCCTATAACACTGATGACTATTTGCAGGTGAGCCTAAGAAATACTCCTTGCACTTGGAACACTAGAATGAAAATATACATTCATGCATTTAGATTAAATTGTAATCATATTACTTGAATGTAAAATTAAACCATAAACACATAAAGATATCAGTGGATCTTAACTTTCCTTTTAACTTTTTTCCCCAATAAGTTTTATAATATCAGAATAAGCTTTATAAGCATAAGTATGGTGTAAAATACTTACTTGAAGCTGCCAACAAGGTGTCATATGCAGCATATTTTTTATGTTCTTTTGCGAGCACTGTCTATCATTTTCTGTGTTATTTTGGCAGTTGCAATTTTCTCCATTCACTGGATTGCACATATCCCCATGGCCATGACATTCACACCTATAGATGGAAAATAGTTTAAAATATTCATGAAACAAGTTTCAATTTATTATTTATTTAAATAACAAGTTGTATTATTTCAATTGATTGAGTATTTCTATGTTTCAATTGGATGCTTGCAAGCGACGTCACTCGTGGGTCAGCCAATCAGGATTGACAAACACGAATGACGTCGTATGCAGAAATTTGAACCCAAAATAGATTCAGCGTTATAATAGACCCAAGCCTTAAACCTGTAAACGTTAAAATGCCATACATAACTACCTGATTAAGCACAAACATGTGATTAGCTGCAAGTATCCAATTTATTGAAAATTTAAAGATTTTTATGAGAAATATTTCTATTATGTACTCCATTATTTGGCATACTTTTCTCTTAAATGCACATAAAACTTTATTGAAATTCCAGAAATACATTCGATATTTTAGGATCAGTGAACTGTCTTAGTGAATAAAAGATAATGCGAAAATACACACTAATATCCCAAATAAAAAATATCTACCATTAATAAAATTTAAAAAAATAATAAATAAATAAAACAAATTTAAGCAATTGAAAAAAATTAAACTATTTTCTAATAATAAAATGTAATTAAAAAGTAAAATTTAAAATTATGTATATTTAATTATTAAAATAAAATAAAAAAAAACTTACGGACGGCAGCCATCTTCAACATGTTCTCCGGCTTTGAAATAACCAGGAATACAGTCATTGCACCTTTTCCCTTGAGTATTATTTCTACAATCTATACAAAATGCATTATCAATAGGACCTTCAACAAGTTTTTCTACTAAATCATCAATCTGTGAAAAAGAAAAAAAAAATATGCTTAAAGAATACTGTGATTATAAAGTTAATCAGAAACTAAAGCAAGAAAATACAAGTTGCAATAGATAAGGAGCAACAAAGAATACATTTAGATTACTTTTTTAAATTTCATATCATATTAAAATACATTTCAGATTAAATTAATGAAACTGATAAACTAAGAAACAAACAGAACTAAAAAACAAAATGGAATTCTTTTTTTCTCCTATTAAACAGATTGAAAAAAATTAGGTAATTTCTGTTACTTTTATATTTATATATTTGAGATTATATAAATAAGTTTCATAAAACTATAGAAATTTTAAAATTTATTAAGTACAAAATTAATTTGACCTGAAAAATCCTTCAAAATTAACCTTTAAACTATTCCAAAACTTATTCAAAATTTAAACAAGAAACAACTAGTTCAATGATAGACATAATACAAGTTCTTACTTAAACTAAATTACATAGCTAATGGAAAAAACAAAACTAATTTTGATGTAAAATAATTTAAAAACTAATAACTGCATCAATACATTTTCAGATCAGAATCTGCACTTTAAATATTTTCTTAAAAATGTGCATAATTTAAATTTTTCAAAAATTAAATAGTTTATGTATTATTAGAATGAAAAATGAGCACAGAACAGAGGAAAAGGCAGCATTTTTTTTAAACATAGAAAGATAACAACCTACATAACCTTTTAACTTATAGAGTTGCAGGGCTTGCCCTATCAATACCCCATTACTGAGTACAAATATTAAATGCATTATTGCGTTTATAGTCAGTGAGAATTATTGTTATGTTTATAGTAAAGTTTTTCAACAAATGAGATATCTCGTGCAATTTGTTAAAAATTATTAGTATGAAATCAAGAACATTTAAATTAATTATTAAAAAAAAAAAAAGGAATTATATACATTAAGAGAAATGCCACATAATATTATACTTACATAGCTTTGATTAGAAATAAGACTAGCAGTAATATTTGACAAGTCAGAACTGAAACATAATCCACTATGTGTATTACAGTATTGATAACAAGAAACACATTGTCCTCCATTAATTGGATTTCCTACATAAAGTGGTTTGCACTTTTGGCATTGTTTACCCTAAAAAGCAAGAAAAAAAAACTTTTTATTTTTTCTAAACAGCAAATACGCATATAAAAAGTGTGTGCAGACAGCAATATGTATTAAAGTGTGTGTGTATATATACACACACACACTTTAAATTAAGCATTTAAAAAAAAAAGTTATTTTTAAGGTCATAAAACTTTTTAGTTTTGAAGATATATATTGAAAAATATCTTTTATTTTTAATTATAACAATAGGAATTTATAATTTTATTATCCAGATATATTTTTTAATTAAAGAAAGGGAAGCACGGTTTGTTTTTCTTTCTATAGAAGATTAATTTTGTTTTATATCTCAAATTCTTTTTTTTTTAAAAAAGTATATTTTTATTTCTTCTATTCCTAAGGAAAATACCCAGAAAATAGTTATCATAATCAATCGATGCCAAAAAGCTAAAAACCTCAAATTTGAAAAAAAAAGTGTGAAATCAAAACTATAAGTTTTAGTACGATTTGATTACGGTTATTTTTTCTTGTTTTAAAACACTATTTGAAAGAATCTAGGTTTGAATCTTATGTATTCATAGTATGTTTTTAATAATGACATAAAACATATTAAAAAAAAATGGTTAAAATGACTATAGATTTTAAGTGCTATGAATTTTTGTCTTGATAAAAGTATTTAATTATTTCAATAAAATAAAAAAATCCTAACCATTATATCACTTCTATAATTTGTTTTTGCCATTTTTAAGTTTCTTTAAAATAGATTATGCTACTACTTAAAAAAAAACTTACTAATTCTTTTTAAACAATAAAATAAACTCCATTTTTGACAGTGAAATTGATTTTGCAAAGTAAAACAAAATATGTGCAGAAATAATATACATATTTTAACATGACCTGAAAAGTCACTTTTTCCCTTTCAAAAGTGAAACAAACTAGTCTTCTCGCTATATATATATNATATATATATATATATATCTTGCTATCCAATTTTGTTATTCTTTTCTGTATATGACAAAACCTATATAAATTATTGATTTTCAAATGATACATAAAATGTATCTCTATCATGTAATTACCAAATGACATGTTTTGCATTTAAAAATATTTTTAATATGAATTATCAAGCAATTGATAAGATGTCACAACTATTAAAAATCAGGCAAAAAAGAAAGAAAAAAAAAAAAAAAAACAACTGGCATCTATTAAAACAAAATATTTTTCAAAAAGTGAGATGTCATGACATATTTAAGTAGCATTTTTTATTAAATGGTAGGCAATAAAGTGAAATTAAATACACAGATAATTATAAATAATAAGATAAAAAAAAGGCCAATAATGGCTGGCTTTTTTTAAAAAAATAACAACTGGTCTTTTTAATATAAGCCCGCTGGCTTGAAGTTTTTCAGAAATGGCTCGCTTTTTCACAAACCCGATAAAGATGGATATTAATAGGTTAAATATGTGGATAAAACTTGTAGGCATTAGATAAAATATATCATGGAAAAGTAGAAAAATGTTTCATTAGTCTTAAGGTTATTCATAATATTATTTTGGTGAATACATTGATCTTATAATGGGAAAAAACAATCTAATAAAAAATAGTCTCAAATTAAACTAATGAAAAAGTTCTCAAACAAATCACACAATATTCGAGCATTTTTAATTAGCCAACTAAGGTTAACGCGCAAAACGGCTAATAAAAATTCAAATTAGTTACTATTCATAAAAGTAGACAAAATAAGAAATTATTTATACTTACAAATGTGTTATTTTTGCATTCTAAGCATATATCTAGCTCTTCAGGTGAGGGACAATCACTATGACCATTGCATTTGCACATAATTGAACAATTATTACCAACAAAACCAAAATTGCACTTGCATTCATCAGGTTGAACACAAGTGCCATTGACACATCCTTGCTTACAGATTGGAATACATTTTTTTCTGTTTAAAAGAAAATTTGAATTAATGTTTACTTTATAAAACCAATATTATACTCCATTAAAAATCATAAACATTTTAGTTTTTCAAATATTAATTCAAAAAAAATAAAGCATTACATTATCAAACTGTACATTATTAAATTTTCTAATAAAAATCTATAATTTGCATAAATAAAACAAAAGGTACAATTTTAAATTATACATATTGCTATATACATATTAAATTATACAATTGCCTTATTGATTCTATTAAGCATAGCGTCAAGGCCAGTTTTATGTATAGTTTTTAAAATGACTGTCATTCTTGGAAGTTTTTAGATTATTCTTCAGATAGCAATTGGAATTCCAAAATAAAATCACCTCTTTATTGCTATTTTTAATTTCTTAAAATGTTTTAATTCAACTATTATTCTTTATTTTTTCTAAACAAAATATTTCCAAAATGAAATAAGTATGTACACCAAAATGCTAATTAATAAATCATTGTTTTAAAAGTACTTATTTTCTTTAAACAAATACAAATTTAACTAAAAAGGAGAAAAGATACCATTGTCATTTTTCGTATTAAAATTAATTAAAGTTATAAGCCATATTAAACAAAATACTTCATTAAATTATGTAACAAATTTTGATAATTAAAACTATTCTTAAATTCTTAATTAAACAAAATCATGCATTTGAATTTAAATGTCTGGTGAAACATGCTCTATTTATCTAATAAAATTTTGAACACTTAAAAAAGAAAAAGAAAAAAAGGCCTTATTGATTCTATAACTAAGTCAAACGTTCCATTTGCTAATTTAAAGTAAACTTAAGTGAATGTTTTCATTTACATTTTGTATCCATAACTCACCAATAGTGAATTAAACTTGCAAGTGAGCTAGTTAAAGTGAATATTTTCCTAGTACCCTTTTGAGTGTGAGCTAGTTAAAGTGCTTATTTTCCTAGTACCCTTGTGAGTGAATAGTGAGCTAGTTTAAGTGAATATTTTCATACCCTTGCATTTTGTATCCAGGCTTACAATGGCATTCGAAACCTTCTAGTGTATCAACACATTCTTCATGAGCATTGTCACAGTTGTGGTGTCCATTTTCACATTCATTTTCTGGTGGTTTGACCAGGTAGGTCCAAGTAGGTGGTCCTTCAGACAACTGGAACCACTTCAGAGTTTTCACTACATTAAATAATTTAAACAATTATGTGTAAAGTCAGTGTACAGGAAATATTTAACTGAGTTATAAAAATGCCAACAAAAAGTTAAAAACACACTAAGAACATACAATTATGAACAAAAGTCATATTTGACAATTAAGATTTAACGAGAAGAATGTTCTAATTTAGAGCTTACGAGAAAACAAGGTTAAGTGGCATCTTAATGAATTCTGAGAAAACAATCTTTACAATGTATAGGAATAACAGGAATGTGTTTAAAAAAAACATCTCTTAAAGTAGAAATGAAAGTCAGTTCCTTCACTAAAGCAACAAATTTCTTTTCATCCAAGAATTATATTTGAAGAATGCATTTCCAGTTTTATTTGTTTTTGATACAAGTTGGGTTTTTCTTATGAGTTTTGTAGATGTTGGAGGTTTTTTTAAACTGTCTGGAAAATACATAAGAGTAATGATGTCGGTATTGTTACAAGAGAAACTGAGGATGGTAAAAGATTGAAGAAGTGAGAAAACTGTAACAAAATTGCACATAAGGAAATAAAATTTAAAATAAAAGTTAATTTCTAAGCACACCTTTTGCAATGAGCTAAAATATGCAGTACTACAGTTGCCAGCTTTAAGCCTGGAACAGTGTAATAGGAAGTTACGTAAAAAAGCATTGCTATATTTCTTTCTTTAAAAATTATACTATTATCCAAAATTAACCAAATTCGTCACACTACTGGCCAGAAAAGATAAATTGCATTCAACTGTATTTTTGCTTAAGTTAAGCAAAAGCTTACAGAGCACAATAAAAAAGTTTAAATTTTTTTTCCTACAATGAATGTTAAAAGAAGAAATTACTTGGCATGGGCACACCCAAGAGGAGAACTTGATTTTCTCGACATATGCCTCCAGTGGCCCCCATAATACCTCCATCCATGCAAAGTCCTCTGCCATCTACTTTTGGACCAGAAAATGCACACCAACCACAGTTAGCTTGAGCCAGACAATGGGATGCTTGAAAGTGCTCCCAACAAGGCAAAGGACAAGAAGATTCATTGCCACTAACAACTAGTCCACAAGTGCCATCTTCACAAGCCAATAATTCAAAACTTGGAGACATACACTAAAAGAAATGGATAAAAATTATTATTATTTTAATATTAATAAACTATACAAATTTTAATCCTTCAAGCTTTATAACTTTGGGCACAATTGTACTGTGATTTTTTAGCTATTTCCTCATTAAATAACACACAAAAAAAGTTTTTGTAAAGCAGAAAAGCCAACAGTGTAACGTTAAAAAGAAAGAAAAACGCTGAGAGTAACGTTAAATTGTTTTTTTCAGTTAAATAACTTCTTCTTTAAACAGGTAAAAGTTTTATATAAATAAAGAAAATGGGGGGAAAATGTATGAAACAAAAAAAAGTAGGAGAACGTGTTTGAAATATAACTAAAAAGAATGTTTTGTGTACAGTAAATTTATTAATTTGCAATATACAGTAGAAGATCTTTATAACACAATTCTTGAAACCTAGGACTTTGCACTTTATAGAAATTCGGTATTATATAAATCATTTCATTTATCTAAAAATTATCATAAAATAAAATTACTTTAAATTTGGTAACATCAGTCTGGAACAGGTCAACAGTAAAATGCTTTAAAATAATTTTTCGATACAAATACTTAAAAATACAAAATATAAACTTAAGCATTTATTATTTGAAAAAAGAAATTGTAATTTTCTGTTGCATTAGAGCTAATAAAAAATTAAGCAATCAATTTTGGTCTGCTTAACTTTTGAAGTTTTAAGATCTAAGCAAATAATAAAAAAAGTTAATAGTTCTTGTTCAGTAATAGAAATTTCTTTACTGAAAATTTCATTGTTTACATCCACAAACTAATGTGGTTCATGACCAGTTGCGTTTTGGAGAATCGCGGTTTATAGAACTGTGTTATATAGGTCTTCCACTGCTTCAAAAGTTGCTTAATGGGCTAGGGGGAGAGTAATGAAATTAACACTATATAATAATAATTTGCAGCAAGAATTATAGTAAAAAATACAAAAAGATTCTTTCATCAAATCACGAATGGTGCAACAGCTTAGAAAATATAGTATTTGAAAAATGTTTAAATTATTTTGAAATTATGGAATGTTAATTAACATAAAGTATAAATTAAATAAGATTGTACTATTACGTAACAAATGAAACTTTTAAAAGAAACACAAAAAACTTAAATAGAAAACTGTCTATGGAATCTTCAGTTTAATTTTGAAATTTATAGCTTTAAAAAAAATGAACAGCACTTAAATCCAAATTACCCGAACTTAAATCTAAATCTTAGTCTAGGAATTTAAAGTTTTACTCTTAGTTATTATGCATGATAGAAAATTTTTCTCACTGTGGTTATTTTTCAATTAAAATCAGACATAGATTAAAAAAAAAAAAAAAAGAAAAAAAAAAGAAGAAGTAGGAGATTGTGCATTGTGGGTGGATTCTTATGCCTGATTCTACTACGTTTTTTGAATAAACTGTTGCAGATAATAACATGCATAAACACTTATTTTGATTTTATTATGTTTAGTATAAATATCGTTAAATAATTACATAAATGAATATTATTAATGTATAAACACATACACTTTGCAGATCTTCACTCCAGACACATTGATGCCAACCTCCCTCACCTCCTTGACTGCGTAAACAAGATGTACAATCAGAATAATGAAAGCAGCTTGCAGGGCATTCTAATGGTGGCATGGATTCTATTGGAAAAGAAGGAGCAGACTGGATTTCCTTCATTACACATACCCAGTTGTAGATGGGCATTTTATTCAAAGTAAGACCAAAACCACCTGAAATAACAATTTTTGAACAGTGTTATAGAACATTAAAGCACATAAGTATGTTTATAGAGACCATTAACCAGATTTACTCTGAACTATTTCCTGGAAATAACCTATACCTTTTTCTGCACAACCAACTGTTTTCTCTCAACATGATAGAAAAAAGAGAGAGATGGGTACAAATTAAAAAAAAGTTAAATAGAATAGAAGTAAAACTTTTGGGTGTTATAACTTTTATCTGTAAAGAATTATAATCACAGGCAGTGAAAACCTAGCTATTTGAATTCATCAAATTGAGAACCGATTGTAATTTTGAACCCATCCCAAAAGGTAAGAAAACTTTTGCATGAAGCATTGATACATACTAGCCTTCATTTAAGAGAACTAACATCCATTTGTGTTACATGGAGAGAGAAATCATTTGAATCATGAAATTTTTCACAATTTACCCATTATCAAGGCAATGGGATACCTACAAGTGACTTAGTATGGGTATATCGATTCTGATTGGTTGCTGAAACATGGCATTTGTTTACATTAGCAACTGTATTTCCCTTTTTGTTTCGATTATGCCAAGCCCATCAAGCACCACTTCTCTTAAGTGTCACATTCTATATTTTTACACAAAGAGTCTTTCACTATATGTTTCTCACTTAACACAAAGACCTGCATGAAGCCATGTAGAAAATAAACAAAATAATTCTGCATTGATGCAGCCAGGTACGCAAAACAAAAACATATCAAGGTTACAATAAAATACTTAAACAAATAATGAATTTAAGTTAAATAAAGGAGTAAACGAGAAAGAATTATAGTTTAACAAATTCAATGTGGGATACGGCATGATATTTAATTAACTTCACACTAATTAACATTCTGATTTATGTGGAGAAACTTAGCTTGACTTTAACACACCATCTTGTTTATAAACCATCAGCTCGCTCTGAGGTCATATATCACGTGCCTGTGTATCAGTGATCATTTTCTCAAGTTGTAAGTACATAATTGTAAGAAATTATTCAATATCATTATCATCAAATAGTTCACATGCCTGTGATGTTCTTTTTAAAGTGTGTAAGTACCCAATTTTAACCCATGATCAATCTACCAGAGAAGATATTTTAATGTCAGTACTTAGGTCATTATGAGGCAAGAGCTCTATCCCCAGAGCCATCTAACAAAGCTTTTGATATTACTTCATTTCTTTAATAAACATTACATTAAAAGTTCATAAGGCTTTTAAGACTATTAAAACGATTTTTCTAATTGTTTTAATTGAACTATTTCTGTATATTTTTAGAGTAATCGTAAACAAAATTTAGCTTCTAAAGAAAAAAAATTAAAATAGCATGCATCAATATAGAAAATATTTGTAGAGCTTTATATTAATACTATTTGAAAAATTTTTAAAAAAGGAATAGCATAAAAAGATATCCAAGGTCATATATTTTTTGAAAATAATTAAATAATTACTAGATCTATGAACTTGACGTGTCCAAATGCACATTTTGAGATCACCACATTTCTCACAATCAGAAGCACCACAAACTCTCAAGGGGCACATATTAGGATGAGTGACAACTTTTCTGGGTATGTTGCAATCTGTGTCATCTTCACAAGATGAGCCAGAGGCAACACATCGCCCTGTTCGGCAATTCGAACACCACTGACAAACCTTAAAAAACATCATAGTAAATTTTATAATTCAACATACATTAGTAAAATACATATACATCAACACATTATTATAAATTAACAATTGACAAAAAGAAGTTATGGAGTTTGTAAGCATTTCTAGCGATTGTTTTCAGCTGAATGTTTATGTTTTGATTCTATTTATTCAGCTATGTCAAAAAATACAATTGATGTTTTAAGCATTGCATTGGATAGAAAAATCACACATGATTGTTAGTTAACAAAGGAAATCCAGATATCTTTGGCTACCATCAGTACAAAAGTAATAAAAGTTAATTAGGGAACTTATAAATTAGAGATTAACTTATAAATTATTTATTTATATCTTATTTAATTAAATTCACCTGCAATATCTAAAAATCAACCTTTCTTAAAGCTATTCTCCATCATAAGGTTTTTGTTTTAAATTCTTATTCAAAATTTTAGGCTTAAAATTGAAAATGTTTTTTCTTTATTATATTATAGAGTTTTAACAAGATATCATTTTATATTTAACATTTTATAATAAAGATATTAAGTTAATGTTTCATAATTATTAAATGGTAAATAAGTTATGTTTATTTTTCAATAAATTTGATTTATTTTTATAATAATTTTATTTACAAACTATGTTCACTCAACATAATTAAAAAAGTGTATAAAAACAATTATTTAAAATTTTAAAACAATAATAGGAATGGAGGACTTTTCTCACTATCTTTAAGGAACAATATTAAAGCATTTTTTAATTAAAAATTTAATAAATAAGTTTGTATTAATTTTTTGAGAACTGCTTTGGTAACCGAGCAAAATTATTAATATTAAATTCCTACCCAAAAGTCTAGGAGATTAGACTATGGTACCAAATCCTTGCTAAAATTTTTTAGAATCCTTCATTTAAATAACTTTTAGTTTTGATATAACAATCTGTTGTTTGTTTAGAAAGAAAACGCAATTAAGAGGTAGGAGAGACAAGCAACCAAGGGCAGGATCTCCTAATATACTTACAGAAGAAAGCAATTACTTAAGAACTTTTTAAGCTACAACAAAACATAACATACTTCCTTCCTTAATATCATAGGGATTGAAGCATATTTTTAAACCAGTTGTCTCTAAATCCGAATTCAAAATAAAAAATAAATAAATAAAATAAAAAAGCACAGATCAGATGGAAGAGTTTTGTTAACAAAATTATACAGGATACTAAATATAGTAGAATCATAGTATATGAAATGTTTAATTTATAGATAAATTAAACAATATATCAAGCATAAAAGGCACCTATTCTGTGAAAATTCTTGCAGAATATTAACATTTTACTAAAAGTAAATCATTTAGACAAATACTTCACTAGGCTCAAGAACAGATAAATTATTAACTTTAAAAATCAAATAAAAAGAATAAAAATATATTAATAAATCCAAGACACACANACATCTGAAGACCATATTTAATTTACAACCTTTTTAGCAGTTTTCTTATAGTAGCCATACATACATGTATTGTGATACAGTTAAACCTACATACCCCTTTACAACTGAAAATTATCTTCCAAGAATGCGAGCTTCATTTTGATAGTCTACAATAGTTGGAATGCAGAAGGAGTTAATGAATAGATAAGCACTGAAGTTCTATAATTGGGGAATAGGTAGTTGTCACTTATGGTTAATGATTAGTGATTACAGTGCTTGGAATCTTAAATCAAAATTCTTAACAGAAAAACAAACAAAACTGAAGTTTCTGAACCAGTAGATCTTTCAGAATGAAAATGATGAAATTGTTTGAGTGAAAATCAGAACTCCACAGACTAAGAGGAAGTAGTAGGTGATTAAGTAGATAATGGACCTTCTCATATAGAAGCATGCAATTAATTAGATTTTGCAATGAATTGGCTAGAACGTCAAAATGATTTTGATCCAGTTCAGTTGATTTATTTAAAAAGAATAAGGAATATATGGCTGCTCAAAAAAAAAAAAAAAAAAAAAAAAAAAAAAAAAAAAAAAAAAAAAAAAAAAAAAAAAAANGAAAATAATGAAAAATGTTTTAAAATCAGTAATTGACAAAAAAATTATAAAAAACTGAAATATGATAAAAATAATTCAAAATGAAAAAGAAAGTAAAAAAAAAAATTATTAATTAAAAATATTTAAAAATTGACAAAAAAAAAAAACTTTTAAACACGCCAGAGCTATTTTAGATAGTACAAAGGTGCGAAGGGAAGTTAGTGCATAAATAATAATCATTTACACTAGATTTTAAACAATTTTCCAATTATCCGAACTTTTCATTATCCGAACCATGTTCGGTCCCCAGAAGTTCGGATAATAGGGGCTCTACCGTACATGAAATGCTTAATTTACAGATAAATTAAACAATATATCTAGCATAAAAGGCACCCATTCTGTGAAAATTCTTGCAGAATATTAACATTTTACTAAAAGTAAATTATTTAGACAAATACTTCAATAGGCTCAAAAACAGATAAATTATTAATTTTAAAAATCAAATTAAAAAAATAAAAATATATTAATAAATCCAAGACCCATAATATTTTGAAAAAATCTATTTTATGTAATGTGCTAGTTCAATTACATTGGTAAAAACACATATTGTATACGGAAGCTAAGAGAAAGAATATGAACTTCATTTCCAACCTAAAATATATGAGTAAATATTAATAAACTAAATGAAAAAAATTTTACTTGTCTAGCTCTTTTAAAAGAAGGCCAAGATGCAACACAGTCAGAGCAAGAAGTGTATTGGTGGCAACTACGCTTTTCCAACCATTCTGTGTTGCAAGTCACTGATGGAATGAATTTTGAGGCTTCTTTAGGGTTATAACATCTGCAAAGAATAAAGTTATTAAAGAAAGAAGAATCATATAAAAATGTCTAGATGAGAACATATTGATCGACTACATCATAGTACGGTTAAGATTAAAGGATTAATGCACTATTCAAAAAAATTGTTTTAAAAAATGTTAACCAAGCTATCAGAAAAGAATTGAAAATAGATTTAAAAAATCTTTAGAAGGCGGTCAGAAAAAAATGAAACTGCTTTGAACAGGGTATCTGCTACATTTTAAATTTTTAAATTCATGACTAATTCCTAGAATTTTTCATGACTTAACATAGTTATTATTTTTTCCGACAAAAACACAACAAGAAATTTAAAAACGCATTATAACATCATAAATTGAAATGATATGTATAACCAGAACTGTTAGAATTTGCATATTCATATTTAAAGACTTTAAATTTAAAAAAACAGAGTAAATAAAGAGTTGAAGCAATAAAATAGCTGAAAAAAATACGAAAGCAAATAATCTTTTTTTTTTTTTTTTTGCAGAATTGTATTCTAAAGATATTTCTCTTGTTCATCCGAAAGGAAAGAAATACTCCTGATTTTTCTGTTCTCATTTCAGAATAAAAAAAATTCGCCAATGACTGGCTTGCTTCAGCTAGAATTTTTTAAATTGATAAAATGAAAAAATAAAAATAATAACAAAAATTCTGAAATCACAGAAATTTAAAAGATAATTCGCTCTAGAAATGATGTTTTCCCCCCCATTTTTTGAAAGAACACCATAACTTTTAAAGAACATGATAAAAACATTTTATATTTTAATAAAATATGACTGTTAGTGGGGATTTTATAACAAATTCAGATATTCAGAACACCATGAAATGGAGGAGGGGGGTAATTTTAGATTCCATTTTAAAAATTAGATTTTTCAGCGACCTAAATCCATGACTTTCCATATTTTTTTTAAAATAATAGTTAAAATCATGACATTTCATGACAAAAATTTTGTTCAATACTGAAATTCATGACTTTCCAGGTGCGCAGATACCCTGTTTAAAAAATGTTTACAAGGTGGTCAGAAAAGAAATGAAAATTATTTAAAAAAAATGTTTACAGGGTGGTCAGAAATTTTTTTTTTAAAAAATATGTTAACAAAAAGGCTAGAAAAAATGAAAATAGTTAAAAAAAAAAAAGGTTTCCAAGGTGGACAAAAAAATTAAAATTGTTTAAAAAAATGTCTACAAGGTGGTCAGAAAAAAGGAACTTACTTGCTTTGAGAGTGTTTATCCTGGGAGAAGCAAAGTGTTTGATTTATCCCATTTTCTGTTAGAGAACAGAAAGCACAACCAGTTTGTTGCATACAGCCAACACGACTTGAAGAAAATAATAAACATATATCAGAGGGAAAAGATAATTTGTAGAGTTTCCCATTAGTTCCACCATAAAAGTAAACATCGTCATTAGCCACAGTAGCTGAGGCACCAATCAAAGGCTCTGGCCACTTTCCAACTACTTCAATGGCTAGGGAAAGAACACAATAAATAAATGAATATAGATTCCTCTGTTTGAAAATAAATAATGATATAATTTAAAGCATGAGTACACTTTCTAACATTTTAACAGTTAATCGAAATATAAATTTGAAAATCGTAGAGAAACATGCTTTGTGGCACAATTCTTTTTAGCATTTTATTATAGATTAACAGATTAAAGCAAATGATTAATTTAAAGCTTTAAAAGGGTATTTATATTTATTTACAAAATTCAAATTTTTATGACAATCCGTATGTTTGAAAATTGTTAAAGGTAGTTCCATTCAACTTAGCACAACTCCTTTGTCCTTAAATGAAATCATAACTGACTATATGTTACCTAAATATTTTGTGCTACACTCAGGAAACTCAGTCAAAAAAATCTATTAATATAATACAGTGCAATTAAAATTGTTGATATTTTCAAGGTAGATTTATTATTTCAGGCTATAACAAAAATGGTATTGGTTAAATAAAAAAAAATTGTCTAAAGCCTTTACCCGTGGAATATATTTGAGAAAAACGTGCCAAAAATTTAAACTTTTTTTCTCTTTAATTTTGTTTGATATTATCACCAAAATGTTAGAAACAGATTATTTTTTTAAAAATATTTTTTTCTCAAAAATTAAATAATTATTATATTCAAAATTTTCACAAACATTGGAAATGTTAATGGATTAAAGTAATTTTTGCTCAAATTATAGCAAAATAAATCAAATGAGATGATTTTAAAAATAAATATAGTAAACTAATACAACAATATTGTTACTTATATCAACTGTCATGAATTGCATGTCCCTCAGATTCTATGAATTTCTCAGATCTTTACAGTATGGTATGTACGCAAACATGGCATTTCACATAAGCCTTTGTTAAAATATTGGTATCTGAGTAAAAAGAGCCTAACAAGTATTCTTCGTCATCTTCTGATTGCCGGTTAATGTGGTGTGAATTAAATTTTGCAAGAACTGCAAAATGACAAAAAACGGACAAATGGCGCAAAACATCTGAACTCTCCGAGGGATAATTTAAAAACAAGTATTGCCATCAATTCAGAAAATGGTAAATTACATATTATGCACTGGATGAATTGAGTTCGGGCTTTATGGAATTGGAGCACAGTTTTTCATTGACCCGTATTCAGGTCAGGAACTCCAAGATTTACATATTTGCGTTGCCCGAGCTGAGTTCAGGCATCACATATATATAGTTGTAAAATAAAATATTTAAAATAATAACATTTTTAGAAATTATTACTCTAATTAATCTTTGGGTGAAACATAATGACAGTTTTCACCATGCTTAGGGTTGTAAGAAAAGGAATAAATAAATTTAAAAAAACTAAAATTTTATAAAGGAGCACTTACCCTCATCCGTCAATGGAATCCACAGATTACAAGAAAATACGTAGGCAAATGGTTGAGCAGCTTCCTCGACACTGTTAGAATTTCCTCGGCCTCCCAAAATGATTAAGTAATTTTCTCTAACAACCAAGGTGTGAAAATACCTTGGCAAAGGCTAAAATAGATTAATACAATAAAATAACCTGAGTTAATCCATAAACTTTAATTATTTGCAATAAAATACTAATAATATAATAACAGTTTTGCCATGAATTAAATGGCCGAGAATTTGTTACTTACTAGTGTTTAATTTTCAAGCAAAAGTAGTTCTTTTTTTTGTGATTAATTTTATTCACTAAATAATGTCTGTTGAAAATATGTTAAGTTGCAAAACAGTAACAGAACAATATAATGGAGATGAATCGGCATTGCAAGACATTACTAAGATAAATATTTTAAAAGCAACAATTTAAAAATCAGTACTGTGGCTTGCTAATTTATACATACACAATAATTTTGAAATATAAGTCTGTGGTTTAGCATACAAATATTTTTAATTTTAATCAAGGTTGGCAAGTTTCTGCCGAGGTGGTTAAAACCTCTGGTAGAAACCGGTTAAAACCGGCATGGCAGAAACACTTTTCTGTCACATTTGTGGCAGAAACTGGCAGAAATTCAGAAAACGACATAAAAGTAAGTACTGAGATTGACATACAATTGATAATTCATAGAAAAAACAATTAAATGTTAAACAAAGTACAATTTATTTACAAAATTATCACCATTCAAAATCAAATATTACATTGTTTGCACTCTGCAGTAATCTATAACAAAAGACAAGTTTTGATGCAGTTTCTAAACCTAAACAATTTCTCAATTTGCCTATGCACGAACGAGAAATTTGAGAAGATTCTCTCAAGTCCAGCAGAACTAGCAGGCATTGCCATCAAGGAACAAGCAAGATTTGTGAAACTTTCATCTATTGCATATTTTTTAAAACTGGACCACCATGTAGCAGCTGGGGTAGTTGTCAAAACTTGACAGGAAAAATAAGTTTCAGGAAATGGGGCCGATTTGTTTTACATAAATATTTGGTATACTGCACTCTTTATATTTAATATAAACAAAATAATATATATTTACAAACAATGAATTAAAAAGTTTGTTACAGTTACATGGAGTGACATTTTTCAGTTTACTTAAACAAAATGTCATTAAGCAACTACTAGAACTAATATAGACGTCTTTTTAGTTTCTGCCGGTTTTTACCGGTTATAACCAGTTTCTACCACTGGTATGGCAAAAACCAGTTTCTGCCAGCAAAAAGCCAACCCTGATTTTAATATACTTTTTCTAAAAAATAAATTAGTTCTGTATAATAGATAAAATAAATGCCTATTGCCACAATAATGTATAAAGTTTGAGTCATTGTGTTCCTTGATTTAGAGCTTTTAGAGAGCTCTTCAAAATGTTTTGAATGTTCAATTGGTTTTAATCAAAAAAAAAAGTTTAATTGGTTTTAATCATAAGAGAAAAAAAATGTTCATCCTTTTTTCTGCAAACCATTTTGTGTTAAATCAAATGTCTTGAAAATTAACTTTCTTTTAGCGCAATATATTTTCAAACATTGAGCTGAGTCAATTTTTTACACTAAGAAATCCAGAATTTGATTGGAATATATTAGGCTGAATAGCCAAACCAAATCCAGTAAGAATGTTCTTGAAGTTCCTGAAAATACTTAAATTGAATATTTTTCTTCATTAATCTTTACTGTAATATTTTCCTTTTTTTGTTGACAGAATTATCTTAAGTATTGATAAAAACTACCATTAAATAATTATGCTGTCACTGAGCAATTATAAACACGCTTGTTCGAATAGTCTGCAGTCTGTGTACTCTAAGTAGCTCTGTGTTGCAGAACTAATCTATTCTTTTATCTACAAAAGTGAACAAAAGAATGTTTAGAAAAATACAAACAAAGTTTACAAAAATAATGGAGTAAACTTTAGGCTTTTTAATGCAAGGCACAAGGACATTTTGAATTACAATGTGCATATTTGATATCAGAAAAATATACTCAATCTGCTAATAATTTTATATTTAGCCTTAGAATATTAATATTTTTCACTGAATATTATAAGCTTAATGTAATTCACAATATAATTCCCTCAATCATTATTTACCATAGGAAATAATGATTGAAGGGATATGCTGGTGCTAACTAATCACTAGCAGCAAAATAACTTCGGCCCTTATTGGACCGATATTCACAAATCTTGGCTCAATAAGGCTTCAAAGAGCAGATTCACTTGATATTTTACTGCCACTTTACAACCAATATTGGCCCTACATATAATCATCAGATTCACCAGATATTTTATAATAATTATTCAGCCAATATAAGCCCTATATAGGGTGATATTGACACTGAATAGGACCAATATTAAAATATATAGACATCCCAATATTGGTCTCAGGGAGCATAGGACGCATATTGAGCCCATCTGGGGCCAAGATATATTTGTAGCTAGGGATAACATAAAGAAATTAAATATTTACCCTAGTCTGTAGTTTATTCACTTTGTTGTCAGGAGGTAGGCGGAACCACTGACTTGATGGATAGTGGAATGCATAGAGGTAATTACAAGGAGCAACATGTTCAAGGTCATAGGAAATACCACCAAATATATAGATACTTTCAGTATCAGAATGGTATACACTGCTATGACCATATAAACCTAATAAAGATGAAATAATTATAAATTGCAATTTCCCTATTTTTTTCACATACAAAGAATTCACAGAAAATTTTTTTTTTTTTTCACAGAAAAAGAGTTAGTACTTTATAACAAGGAATCAATGCTTTATTTGGAATTAAAGAAAATCATTTCTGAACTCTGTAAGCCTAGATCAGAATTCAATCACATTACAGCTTCTTTATTCCATCACATTATAAGATATTTTTAAATTATGACACGGTTATAAGCTTCCATTTTTTTTTACATCAGAAAATTCAATATTCTGTTAATTAGTAATTTTTATAAAAAAAATATTGCTACTTTTTAAGTTTTATGAATTTTTTCAATTTTTATAATGTATTCAAAAATATAAGACCAGCATGATTTATTTCCCTTTTTGCATTTTTAAGTTTATCATTTTCAAAAGTTAAAGATTTTTTTATAAGATGTTAAGAGTTTAATTGTACTGCATGGAAATTTAATGGTAATGAAGGGAAAATTAAATAAATTTTTTTTAAACTAGTAAAATTATGATTGCTAATGAAGCGGATAATAGTTTTAAGAATTGAACAAAATGCTTAATGAGTTATCTAATTAAAGCCTTAAATTACTTAATTGAAGTAGCGCCATTCTTTTCTTTGAGAATTTTTTTGCTGCATTCGATTTTGTTTGGCTGTGGTCCATCATATAGGTAAACTGACGTCATTTTGTTGACTAGTTTGAAGAATGATAAATTAATATTATGTACATTATTAGGTACATTAAAATTTTATATTAAGAAAATGCTAAAGAAATAATTGTTCCGTTATATTCTAAATTGCTCATTATTTTGTTTGCTTATACCAAAATTTTGCCTTTTCAGTTTTGAAGAAATGTCTGTATTAAAAATTTAAATTGTTTTGTTCTATTTAATAAAAGAATAAAGTGTTTATTTCAATAAATTAACAATTATGGCAAGTATTTTCCTCTTTAAAGATATGTTATTAACATTATCACTCATTAATAAAATATAAAATTATAAAAGAATCAGATAGAATACAATTTAAATACCTTTGCACTAATTCAGTAAAATATATATTTATTTTTCCATTTTATATACTTCACAGTTTGATTGTTTTACTTCATCTAATTGAAAAAAAAGTTTTTTTTTTTTTTTTTTTAAATATGAAGAATTTATTAAAATAAAATATTTACCATACAATATTATAAATACTCAAATAAAACAAAATAATCTCAATCATAGTGAGTGAATCTATATAAATTAAATAGCTCTAACTCTTATATTTGTAATACCGATAAGATGACAATAAGATAATACAATTAATTAAAGATAAGATTAATGTGTTATAAAAAATTTGAAATTTTTCTGAAATATTAACGCGGTTCAAATGAATTTATTTGTTTAATATTTGTAATATGCTTGATGTTTTTATTGATACACATTTTTATATAATCAATTTTAAAATATTTTTAAATTTTTTTACATGCATCTAAAATTTTAATAAAGATTTTATTTTAAATTTAATTAATTGTACTTAATAATACTGCAAACATCTTATTAATATGCATATTTGTAAAGTTAGATAGTTAAAATATGTCATAACTTTGATTATTCTAAACAATTCATTTAACTTTTTATTTTTAAACTGAAACAAATGAAATTTTTTATACTTTCAAATTAACTTTTTTATAGCATCCTGAACATGCAATTTGACTTTTTTTATAGTTAAAAACATGAATAGTGTTTTACATGAAGAACATGCTGCAACATAGTGATAAGCCACATTTTGAAACTGTTTCCAAGAGCATTTTTAAAGAGTATTTTAGCTAAAAAACACTATAGTTGTGACACAAGCATTAAGATGTTTTAATATATTTTGCTGTTATCAAGTGGAAAGTTCAGAAACTTGAAAAGTATTTAACTGGAAACAATACTAAGGAAAGGTTTGGAGTAAAAAAAGTTTCCTCAGAGAAAAATTTAGTTTATCACCATGATGCTCAAGCCTCATATGATGAACATTTCAAGAATCTTTGGTGTGAATATACTTGTAAAATGAACGTAACACATTATCTAATAATGGTATTAAATTTGAATTTCTTAACGAAAATCAGTTTTCCTGAAAAAATTACATGTTTTCTATGAAGTTCACAAAGTAAAATTAAGTTAGTTAGGATAAATGTATTGGCTAATATAATGAGAAAATGTTATTACCGATGGGTTTAGCACCCGTACTATTAATGACAAGCCATTGTCGATTTTCAGTATCAAATTCTATAACTCTTTCAAAGAAGCCATGCGATGGTGAAAAGCCTCCAAATAATACAAGTCGATTGTCCGTCACAGGTGTTAAAGTTGATCCTGCCATTGATAGCACTGCAGATGATGTCTGCAACACACATTGAGAAAATATAAACATTCAGAAAACAAATTCTAATAAGCAAACATTTGGTAATTAAAATACCATGCTAAAGTTTTACAAATGAGCTATAAATTTTCAAAAATATTATGTTTTTTCTTCTTTTTATCTGAGTTAACATGAAAATAGATGCAGTAAAAGTAAAATTAGTACAGATGTTAACAAATTAAATAGAAAGAAAATAATTGGAAACAATTCATTTTAAGTACCTGACAAAATAAAAAATACAAAAAAGATTTTTATAGTAAGAAGGGAAAACAGTATTAATATAAAATGAGCAGAATATTGTTATGGTACAATAATAAAAATACTAAACCATTTTGACAGTAAAATTTCAGTTGGGAGAAAACCTCCCAGTTTGCTCAATCGTAAAATGCAAAAAAGAATTTCTATATTTACAATTGCTATATTTGCAGATTTTGAAAGTATATAACTTAGTAAAAAATAATCCCACAGTTCTAATAAGTTTTGTTAAAATAACATTTGGTATCATTGATATTTACTCCAATTTTTAGAGAATTTCATAAGTTAAAAAATTTTTAAAATTAAAACTGGCTGATACAGAAGTAACCGAATATGTTACATCCATAACATCCAGGTTTTAATATTTTTTTTAAAAAAATATTAAAATCGTAAAAGTAAAAATTGGAATAAATGACAAAGAGTTACTGCAAAATGTATTGAATTTGCTTAATTTTTAAAAAAACTGGAGTTGATATGCTTTTAAAGTTTGCAAATATGACATTTGTAAATGGTACAATTGACCTGAAGTATGTAACGTAACAGGGACATACCGTCACTTCTGGCAGTTGCACCCATACATGTTCAGATGTAAACACCCAGAAATCTCCAAGAACAGTTTTTTCACCGAGACCTCCGTAAACATATAATGACTGATTTAAAGAAGCAGCTGCATGGAAATGACGATTTGGAGGAGCATAGTCAGTTAAAATCTACAAAGAATTTTATAAGTTAGACATGAGTTTTGAATAGTCATTGCTCAATTATAATTAGCATTTCTACAAAAACAAAGCAGGCAGACAAACAACACCAGATCAATATTACAACCCAAGAATGGCCGCATATCTACCACAGACAATGCACTCTTGCCTTGGCCATCACAATCCCCAAACTTCAGACAGTGCAATTCTTTTCAGTTGAGGTTCATAAAAGATTGCATGTTATTATGTCATTTGTATATTGTACATTATTTGTTATGCCATTTGTATATTGTACATTATTTGCTATGTCATTTGTATTTGTACACGTATGTACTGCCAGGTCCAACAACATGATTGATTTGAAAACCTGTATCACAGCTGCTATTGCCAGCATCGATAGTAGTTTGAGAATTGATGTTTGCCGTATAACAAAAGAAGCCCATATCATACATTTGAGAAGTATATTCAAAACTTGCTTATATAACTTCCAGATGTAAATAAATTTTTAATGAAATTGAAGTATTCATTTTAACTTATCCTGCATATTTTTTTAAAAAAAAATTTATAAACAAGTTTTAGAAATATACAACAGCTGAGGAAATATTTTGTTTGACCAATAGAAATGACATAATAAATAACAGTTGACAGCAACATCTGTCAAATGCCATCTTTAGATTAACACTTACTTTGATCCAAAGATGACTGGTAGTGTTGTACAAAAATAAGTCGTTTAAGTAGCCAGCAGCCGAAGAATAACCACCAAAAAGAAGAAGGTGCTCATTGTGATCAACATTGTAAGTCAGCAGAGAAGATCCAACTCTACTTGGAGGTATTGACATATTGTTAGGTGATGCTTTTTGAAGGTTAAAAAGAGTCTTCCAAGCTAAGGTGTGATAGGAGAGTTTAAGTGAGCAGTCCTCACCAGCATATCCTTTGTTGCATACACAGATACCATATTGCTATGAATGAAAATCATTGAAGTTAAGAGAAATGGTATAATGGCTGACACATTTACATAAAGAATTCACAATACATGCTAATAGTTTTTAGTCCAGAGCCCCCGTGGCAGAATTGCAGGGACATTGTCACAGAACGTTACAGAGTTCCTGCAGAAAGATTTTTCTTTTGAAAAATAAAAAATTACTTTTCTCTTCTACAGAAATTTACACGTAATACTAGAATCATGTATTTAGATAATCACTTTTTGACGCATTTAATTTACGACAATAGTATCGTAAATCTATGTAATGTTTCGATTGTATTTTCGGCAGTTATTGATTTTCACATGGATTTTAAATATCCCCATACAATATAGAAAACAATATAGAAAATTTGAATCCTGCATTTGAGTATTTACTTTTCTAGGCAATAATTTCATCGAATTTTGGGCAGTTATTGCTATTGATTTCTCTGTAGTTTTTAAATCCGATATCATTTATGCGATTTTATTTATTACAACAACCTAATCTCGAAACGAAGCACGCATTTGAGGAGCCCGATTCGAGTGATTTTGTCATTGATCTTTTCTTCGGTAATTACTACTACGGATTTCATGATTTTTAATTATATTTTTGATTGTGATTACAAAATTTTGTATTTACAAAATGCGAAGGAAATAATTTGTGTGTCCCTCCCCCCACAAAATGCGAGAATATCACAAATAATATAAGAATAAAATATTATTACATACTTTATTACAAAAAAATTGTATAGATTTTTTTGTAAACACAGCTATTTTATTTTAAATTTCTAATATATATGTTTGTTATAATTAAAAGTATCTTGCAGAAAGATATTAGTGCCAGAGAATTTTGTCGCAGATAGCTCGAAAAATTCTGCCACAGGGGTCAAGAGTATATAAAATAAAACAGTTTTAATATTTTAATTATCAAAATAGTTGGAGAATTTCATAAAAAATATCCCACAGTGAAGTTTCTACATTAAATAACAGGAAATAAAATATTTCAATAACTTACTATTATGCATTGTCCTTGATTCAATGAATTTGAACAGTTATTCGGACACCGCTGATTAGAGCAAGTTGTGCAGTTGTTATCGGCATTTGTATCATCACAACAATTGGGGAGGTGAGGTAATCTTGTATAGGAAGCATTAAATCCATGAGCCAATGCACCTCTTTTAAAATGAATAGTTAAATAACCTGAAGCAGCAGTAGCCACTATTGGGTGAGAGAGATTTGTACCACAGAAAGAACCCAATAAGGTGTTCGGATGGTCTGAAGCAACAAAATTAGGTAAGCCATCATAAATATAGATGTGATTGTGTGGACATGGAATATTGATATCTTTGTGAATTTTTACTTGCAAATAAGTTCCAGTACTGAAACAAAAAAATATTTAGGAAAACTTGGATTAGATATCAATTTGTATTATACATTAGAAATAATGCTAGCGTAAAACCTGATCTTGTAGACCAGCATTCTAAAGAAATGATCTGTTGTTAAAAATTAGGTAAAGGAACGTTAATGAATTGGAGTATGTATGAAAAATATGCTACTTCTTTAAATGCAAAAATCAATTTTTTTTCGTCAGATTTAATAATAAAATTATTATTTCTTATAATAAACTACTGAATTATGGTGATTATCTAATTTTTTAACTGGCTGCATGGCTGTGGGCATCGCAGATTTATTTTGGCCTTGTAGACAAAAATAAGCCTAAACACTATATACATATATATTTATATATGTATAAAAAAACTAAATAATTTTTTTTAACAAAATTAATTTTAACTTAAAAAAACATCTCTCCCATATATAATTCATACAAAATTTTTATTAAATATATTTTACCTTATTTGGTATTTATTTAGGTTTAAATAAATGAAAAATACTATATTTAGCTTTTTAATAATTAATAGTTTCTTTAATTTACAATATCAATTATTGATAAATTTTTGAATGAGAATGAAAAAAAAAAATTAAAACTACTTTTTTTAATTTTATATTTCTGTATAAATATAATCTAACAGATTCTTAGTAACTATTAGACTATTTTTTATAGCTAAAAAAAAAAAACAAAATATATTTTTGCTTCTAATACGAATGTCAAAAAAAAAAAAAAAAAANATATGTCAAAAAAAAAAAAAAGAAAAAAAAAGGGATACCTGAGTTTCGTCTGCATCAAAGCCATAACAGCTTGCTTTTCATTTTTGTAAGTTAATTTTTCATCCTCACTAATTAAGCTTCAATTAACTAATTTCAGTTCGACAGTCTTGTCTTTCAAAAAATATAAATCTATCAAGTGCAACATTTGAATACAAATATTTCACAGCAGGCTCTACAGAAGTTATAGCTACTAAATAATTGCAAACGAAATTTTCATACACATGTTTATAATGTGAAAATAAAGCAATTGAAAATTTTTTAATATCAATAAATTGCCCTTTATTTCGCATGGTACATTTGTAACTTTTTTATGACTTAAAAATAAGATTAATTACCTTTGCATAGGACCAAGAAGTGACTGCATGTCTAATACAGAATGCACGGTAAGTAACCAGAGACAATCTTCTGATTCTGATGACATGGCTGGGCTACCGAATCTACCCTCAACAGCATTTGTTATTACTTTACGAGGATGGCATTCCTCAAAACACTTTCCGTTATTCCTAAATTAAAATATAAATAATCAACCACTTAGCAAAAGTTTTAAGGTGGAATTCTTAAAACAAACTGGCTACTTATAATTTGAATCTGTGGTTATTACTATTTTCATTATCATAGACCACATATATCTCAATTTTTTTTCCATGGAATATAGTTCTAATAAAAAATCAAGTGTAAGTCTAATATAATAAGTATTGTATTCAGTATCATGAATAACTTATGAGGTACGGTTAGTAAGTTAATGTTAAAGATACATGAATTATGAGTAAATAATAAATTAAAAATATAGATACATTTCTTTTTTAAAATGCAATATTTTGAGAAAAATTACATTTTACCATTATGTATTTCAGCAATTCTATAAAATATTGAACAAACAATTCAGCTATTTGTCTTTTCATAAGAATGGTGATACATTTGAGTTTCTATATTTGCAATGAAAAAAATGTTGACTTATTAACTACCCTATTTTCTGACACAAAACTGATTTTTCACTTATTGCTATTTCCTAGAATATTGTCTCTTTGTGAAATTTTAGAAGAAAATAGATATTGCTGATTGCACATTTTTCTAATTTTTTTTAACCTTTTCAACGCATGAACTGGCAATAAATGTGTTAATCTGCATTTTATTTTTTGTTGCTTACATAAGCTGTCTTATATTATCTGCACTTAATATAACTTTAATTAGTTACGTGACATATTTAAGGGAAATTACTGTAATCGAATGAAAAATTCAAAATTTGTTCACAAAAATTTATATTGATGTAATTTGTGTGATCAAGGGGATTATATATATATTTTGTTTGGTCGAAAAAGTCATTCCCCAATACTTTAACCAAAACACAATTTGTTTTGCTGAATTTACAATTTCATCGCATGTGGCAAGGTGGTGAATATTTAGAGCAGGACCGAAATAATGTTTTCTCTTTTCTACCTTTTGATTTGTCTGACTGGTATAGATCTTCTAATATTATTTTTAAAAAATTACTTCATACTTTTTAAAAAATAAATTTAAATAAAGCCAAATTAGAAATTTTGGTTACTTTAGAAGAGTGATAGAATGAAAAATATGAACTTTTTTAATGCTAATATTGAACATTATTAGACTGTTTCCTAATTTGAAAATAATTCATGTTATCAATGTGGAATGCTATGCTACGCAACATATAATTTATAAGCAAAAGCAATTGGATATGCATTTTGATAAGCAACAGTTGCTACTGCATTTTTTAGCACTAAATCTTTGTGTATTAATGCAACAAGAAACCTATTCTGCAGCATAATTTTTAAGAACCATTGATTAAAATTTGTTATATACTTTCGTAAAATTCAAAGAATCAATATAAAAAGCATTATAGCAAAAATTAATCCAAAAAAAAATCTTTCGTTAATTTTTTAACACTTGAAATTTTTAATGTAATTTATTAAAATACTAATATAAGTTATAACCATGTTCTTTACAATCAAGTTAAATTCAATTAACAAAAAATATTTTTTTTTTTTATAAATAGAATGAAATAACCAAGAAATTATCAATACTTAATAAACAAGCACTTTGATAACAGAGAAAAAGTCATTTACTGAGGATTTCCATAATAGCCTTCTTTGCAGACAGAGCAATCAGGCCCAACAGTGTTGTTTAAGCAAAAGCAAATACCACTTGTAGTATTACAGTATCCAAAACGATTATCTCCATGACCATTACAATTGCATTTTTGGCAACCAATTGATGTTTTTGCATCTCCATAGCTTCCAGGGCTAAAGATGTGAAAGAGATAAAATATAAACAATATAATAACGGATCATAAAAAAAATATGTTTATTCAATGTTTAAAAATATGAGGCAAAAGAAATAGACTTTGTTTTTTTTATTGAATATTTTTAAAATGAAAGTTTTTTTCTTTCTTTTTTTAAATTTACATTATTATCTTAGCATAAGAGTAAAAGAAAAATCTAGCATCATATTTTTCAAAAGAAATATGTTAAAATTTGCTTTTAAACTTTGGGTAGCTTAAAAAAAAATGAACTAAAATCTTTCTGCTTAAAATAATGTCTTGAACTAGGGACTATCAATGTTAAATTATTTTATCACAAAAGTTAGTAATTTTTGCAAAAAATTAAACAAATTTTAACACATGCTTATAGAAAATTGGCGGCTATACATCACTCATAACTACTTCTGAAATTTTGCTAAATTGTTGTATTTTTTACTTCATCTCTATACATATTTCAATGTTTAATTGTACACAATGATACAATGAGAAAATTTGTAATGACATTTACAATAAATCTCCTTACAGAAATTTCTCCCTTAAAGGAAAAAATAATCTTACTTTATTTAGGTATATGATAGCAGTATTACTCAAGTATAAGACTAAAATGTGCAAAATATGAAAAGGTCATTATAAACTAGCAGTTTTACTTAATAATATCATAACTTTGAATATATTTTCAAGACAAATTTAAAATTAAAATGTTCATACATTAAAAATTCATAAGAATTATAATAAAAACTTAATGTGTCTATGTATTGACAAAAAATTGGACAAAATATTACACATTTTAATGACTTCAACACTTTATTAAATAATAATAATTAATAATAATTTTAATAAAAATTCTAAGAAAATAATTAACACCAACTATCTTAGAAATCATCCCCAAATAAAAATACACATTGAATTCCTACAATACCTGCATTTTTCACAAAAATTTCCTTCAGTCCAATCTTGGCATTCATCACAAATTCCAACTTCTTTGGTGCAGGTGCTATGATTGTTGCAACCACAATTAATGCTGCAATCTTCTCCTGTCCAACCAAGGTCACATATGCAAACATAATAGGGAGCATTGGAACAATACCCATTCACACACTTCACAGCACAGCTGCATAAATATTGAATCAGAAATAAAAAAGATCAGTGATAATAATATTAAGGCATCACTCTATGACTGAAATATTTTCAATACAACTATTTCTTAATTATTGTTTTTAAAAAATATTTGAGTCAATTATTGCAATTTTAAATTAAAATAATCATTTTTATTTTATTCCAGCCATTAATTTTTAGTGCCAAAATAGAATAATAGTTCTTAAAAGATCTAACAAGCAGATTATTAAAGAAATCACTAGGATAGTTTAAAAAAAACTTAAATATGCAATATATATATATANATATATTAATATATATATATATCTTGCATATTTAAGTTTTTTTTAAACAATCCCAGTGATTTCTTTAATAATCTGCTTGTTAGATCTTTTAAGAACTATTCTTGTTTCCATTTTTTCAAGGTTTAAATTGACATTGTTTAACAAACAGTAAAAGCCAAACCATCTGGAATTCCCCAAATTAAAAAAGCTAAAGTTCCTAATTTTTTTTTTACAAAAGACCAATTAGAAAATGCGGAAGTCTATTGTGAAATACTGATGAAATTTATCGATGAATTGTCGTTTAAGCCCCCCCCCCACCTAGTGTAAAGAAAAAGAGTTTAACCAAGAAACTTTATTGTTAAACCAAGATTACACAAGTTCAAACCTGCAGCTGTTTCAAGGTCAGGTTTTAAGAGAACGTGAAATTTTAATGGCCTCCACAAACGAGGATGGAGGAAAATAGGAGAAAATGAGAAAGAGAATGTTGAATTGTTAGTACGTGAAGTAAAGAAAAACTAGAACAATGTTTCATAGCGTATTGATTTGTGCCTACTTCAGGTTTTTTTGATAAACTCATTATAATACGATTACTGACATTTAGAAGAAAAACAAAATAAAAACAGGAAAAATAAATGTTTAGTAGATTTAAATAAAATGCAGGGGATTTCTCTGTTTTTTTAAATTTTTTTTTTTTAATTAGCATTTTTCAAGAGCATCTTCAATTTACTTTTTTCGAAAATTTTTATTGTGTTCCTTATTTATTCTTGAAAATATAGCAACATAAAAAGTTCGACTTTCAACATATAAGTTTTGTTTTAAAAATTAAGAGCAAACTTTACAGCTTTTTTTATGCTTTTTGTTATAAACTAGTTTTTATTGGCGTTTTTATAGTTGTATAATATTTTTTAAGAACTTCCTGATAGATTTTTTGTTTTATTATCACCTTATCCTAAAAATACTGCAATATGGAAAAATGAGATTTTCACCTTTAAAATGGTAATATAAGATTACTTTTTCTTGTGGTGAACTTACATCTTTAAAAGCACAATACAATTTTCAAAATTCAAGAGCTTGTAGTAAATGTCAGGTAGCAGTTTACTTCCAGATAATAAAGATTCTTGTAAAATGAATAAAAGAAATTTTTTATGTTTAGAAGAAAAACAAGAACAAATTTATACGCAAGCACACAAAAGAAGGTTATCATTCAAAATAAAACAGAAACTTTTGATCTGATTTGTACATAATAAGGAGGTAAATAAATTTAATGGCATGTGGGAATACAACTGCTACTTTTATATGCATTGCTAAGTCGTGGATAACTTACATTAAGAAATATTTAGCCAATTTATGTGATTTACTTACTTCACCAGAAACAGTTTAATGCAAAAACAGCATGTTGCTATATTTTAACAACTTAATCTTTAGAATAATATCAAGGGGTACTAAAATAAATGAAAAAATGTATTTTGAATTTTAACGATAAAAATATGGTAGCTTACGCTCTAGTACATGTTCTACCATCGCCTTCAAATCCAACATTGCATTCACATGTATAAGATTCGGGAGTGTTATGACACGTAGCATTTTCATCACAATCATGCAAGTCCCATAAACATTCTTCCAAGTCTGGACACTGTCCATAAGACCACTGTAAATTTTCTTGAACACTGGAGTTTTTTAGATGATAAGAACAAGACCCTTAAATAAATAATTATTTTAGGATGATGAATACCAGGTAAATACAAACTTAAAAGCATGCAATCTAAAATAAGTGCTCTCTGTCAAGAAAATGCTTATTTTATTTGAATTAATTCTAGTAAAATTTTAGACAACTTGAATACTTCATTTGGGTATATTTTTAGAAAACGAAGTTAGATAAAATTTGTCTTAAATCAGAATTTAAATTGGGGGAAATAAATATATCAAGTCACACGTTTCAATAAACAAAAAAAAAAAACATTGATATAAATATTTATATATAAAAAATATTAATATAAAAAAAATTGATAAATAGGGAATTTACCAAAAAATACCTATGAAAGTTTGATTTTATTTGGAAAAGTTAAAACAGAAATGAAATTTAGGAAACATTCTTACAATGTGCATTTATCAAATGCAAGTAATAATTAAAATAATAATAAAGTAAATTAACTAGGTGTAAAAAACTACTTTCAAATCTAACTTGAAAATAAAAAGGTTGTGTAATATCAACAAAATACTTCATGCTGCCATTAATGCAATTTAAAATAAATGTGTATCTAAAACTAATTTATGCAGACTTATGGGGCACTTTTAGAACTAAAATCTAAAAATTAAATCTACATATAAAATTAATGAATTAATACACATTGCTTTAGAGAATTTATATACATTCTAGTCAAATGTGTTCTCTTACGAAAAAAACAAGATTAAAACTATTATCTTAAACTGACATAGATTTTAAAATACCTGAAAAAGGTCCAGAGAAATCTCCATCAGTACAAATGCCATTTCCTGGATAACTTGATGAACTGCACCAGCCACAAGTTAGATCCTTTATACAAGTAGAGCATTGTGAATGTTTGGAGCAATTACGGCAAAGCCCAATCCTAAATAAATAAAAAAATTTTGACAAACAGATTTAAAAAGTGATTACTATGAATTAAAATTCATGTTTGAATTTGTTAGTTATAAGCATGCAAGTTCTGGCAGTGTTTCATTTTAGATAATAGCAGTTACGCCTGACAATTTATAGTTATTAATCTTGAGTTTGAAATTTACATGCCATAATCTTTCTGTCCTCCATAAAACTGTAAAAGAAATAATTATTATTGTAACTAGAAATATATATTATATTTGACAGAAATCTTTCTTATCGATTAAATTTTCATACGCAAAGAAAACAAGAATATGTAAGGTCACCTGGGAGAAAAATATTCAATTTAATAAAACATAAGAACTAGTAACTACCCTATTTATAAATAATTAAAAATTAACTGATTCCATTTTTTTTTACCCTACTCTGCATAATGATTCACACCAGTATCAGTTGTTTTTCCTCTTGAAACAAATAGGAATTAAAATTTCTGCCCAGGGAAATGTTTTTAGATTTCAGATTGAAATTTATTTGTACAGTAATTTTTATGAGTTTCATAAATGAGTAAATTTTAAAGGTAAGTTTAAGTAATGTAAGGCATAGATTAGTAGTTTCATTGTTTAAAGCTTGACTGATGTTTAAGAAAATTTTCCGAATTATCAATAAAAGTTCAAAACCAACTTAGAAGTACCTTTTTCGCTGGAAAAAAAAAACTGTAACAATCTGATCTAATGTGTCTGGAAATAAAATTTTAGTGACATGCTTCAATAAAATTGCAGTAAATAATAATCATGAGTAGGTCAATCTTAAAAAACAGTGTATCTCTCAAGATTTAACTACCTCAATAGCAAATAATAAAATAATCGATTAATACTCTATGAGCTAGTTATTATCATAGACATTTTAGGACAGAATTCTATTAAATAACTTTTCCGCTAATATTTAAACTTTTCAATTCTCTGTTTAGCACATTTATGAAGATCCTTTTAGATCAAATTGAAAGATTGTTTTGTTAAATAATCTAAAGAACGCTTAAAATGCATTTGAATCCTCTTTCTTTATTTCATTGCAAAAAATAGTTATAATTTTATTTTAGCAAAACATTGACCTACATTACAGGGATATTTAAATCTGGGATAAAACTGATGTACTGCAAAAGTAATAAAATGTTCATATAAAAAAATACAAATTAACCATTTATGTAAAACAATACTTATAAACCATCATAAGTGGGTTTTAAAGTTTTATAACATTTTAAAACCTAGTAGTTTTTTAACTTTCACTTCTAATTTTTAAAACAATAAGAAGTTAATGCTTAGCGAATTCATGTATTTATTTTCTAACTCAAAATGTAACTTTTTCTATCCCAGATATAATAAAATTATATTATCATATAATAATTAAGGGCTGTCAAATTTTCTAAACTATCTACGATAAAAGGCTAATCTTTTCTAAGGAAATATTGAATTAATTTTTAAAAAACAGATTTTCTGTCATGTTTATTTTGTTGTGCTAGTCAACACATTGTACATTTGAAATTTGACTTAAGAAATTGAAAACTCTTTTGTTATTAAAAAAATAAATAAGACCAAAATTTAAAAGAATTTCTTCGGCTTAAATATACACCACAATAAAAACAATTAAACAAATATTGTTTTTACAAATAGATTTAATAATTTTTGTAAAGGAGAAAATATAATAATAAAAGGAATCAAATTTAGCCATTTTAATATGGCTCGAGACAGAATATGATCCTTGGAAGTTTAATGCTGAGAAAACTTGCTGCCAAAAAAAAAGAATATAATTACCCAACTCCAGCACGATTTTCATCAACCCAATCTCTGCATCTCCCATATGAATAAGATGATGTATAAGTAGAAAAGAGGAAGCATGTTTGGGTTTCTTCACACCACGCACACATTCCTGGATCATTAAGACAAGACAAACAGTTTGGGCGCCTGTAAACAGAAAAAGTTCAATTATTTTCAACTAATTTTAGTTAAACAAATTTTATAATGAATCAAAATTAAAGTATGATAAAGTTTTGTTATCAAAGCTTTCATCAGAAAGCTTGAGAATACCAAAAAAAAAATCTTCAAAAAGAATTTTTAGAATGCATTATAAATCAAAACAAATATTTCTGTTTTTATATTATTCTTCAGGGTTTCGAATTTAATTTAAATGAGTTAAGCGCTGTAAATCAAAAGGTTTCAAAATTCAATAGCTTAAACAGCACTGATGTAATTTCACAGGAATGCTACTCTCCAGACAAAGTTTAGTACGTCTAGTGGCCCCTAAAAATTGTTATGGCGGTAGTTAACTTTCCATCAAAGCAGTTGAAATTAAACTGGTTCAGCAATCACTTATATGCTATAAATTTTTATAGCATAACTCGTTATATGTGTTTGAGTTATCGAATTATTGTGGTGGTCAGGCATGTTTCATGCCAACATTTTAAAAACCTTAAATACATTTTTTGAGAAAAACTTATATACGAAAATAATAATTTTGATGGACCTCTGGATCTTCTGGCATTAAATTTCCCGTGTAAACTTAGAAAAATTTGAATAATCTTATAGGTTCAATAAGCACAATTTTAATCATAATTAAATTTCTTTTTATTATATTTATATGGAAATCATATTAGGTGTTTTTTTAGCAGCAAAACTAATAGAGTTTGTTTTGGTTTAATAAATTCATAAGTAACATTTTTCAAAGCTCAAGACGGAAATGAAATGATATTCAAAATTAAAGTGTTTAGTTTCCTAATGTTATAAAAAATGTAACTGAAATAAAAGAAATGTTTGTTTAATAGACCACTTTAACTCTGAACACCGCTTAAAAACCAATTTCATCTTTATCCGTGTCTATACAAAAATGCTTTGTTTTTTGTATTTATATAAGGTTTGATTTAAACTGTTTAGACATTTACAAGTAGTGTGTGTGTGCATGTGTATAGTGTTACTGTGGTATTTCTCCTTAAAAAAAGATTCAGAACTAATCTTTTATTGTATAATTGATTTTTAATAATTTAACTGTCAACAAAGTAAGTTGCCAGTGGAAAATAGTAGAACATCTAAGTGTTGCCAAAGAAATCCTTAAAAAGTTTCACCATAAGCATTTACAAATTTAGTTTTCAATTATATTAAAAATAAGAAAATAAACAATATTATGCCTTTTTATGATAATAATGAAAAAAAAAAGTTAATGATATAAATTTCCTTGAATAATGATTTTAAAGGAATAAAAAAATATTCCGGTCAAACAATAAATGTTATCAGAAATATATGGTAAGAGAAAAAAAACAGCATGATCTATAGTTATTATTAAAAATTGCTAGGAAAAAAGAACAACTTCAAAAAGGCTTGAATCATAAGCAATAAAATTAATTTCTATGCAATTATAAGTTTAAAATACTAAAATGATAATAATACTCTTCAATACTAACAAAGGACAAGGAACAGGACATGATTGAGGATCTTGCACAGATAATCTGAAGCGCCCTCTACGGACACATATTGCGGCTTCTACAACCCATTCACAAGATGACATCTATAATTAAAAGATATTTCAGTTAGGCCAACATTATAACTTTTGAACAGAAAATTATAAAAACAACAAAATAACTATGTTATAAATTCACATTCTCCTTGGTCGTCCAGTTAGTTTATGCTTTAGGGCAGATTTAGTCTCTTCAAAGTAATTAATCCAACTTTTTCTGGTGTATTTTGATGGGACGGCACCATACCATCCCAAGTTGTGAAAAACGGAACTCTTTCTGCACAGCTTTCAAACTATAATTGCTTTTATAAAACATTTTTATGGCAAAAACACGTTGTCACACACGATCCATGGTTACTAAAATGGCAAAGTGCATACTTGCTCAAGGTCACTAGCCCAGTGTTCCGCCTGCCATAATGCATTTCAAATTTTTTTTTTTTGTATCACCCACACCGTGTATTAACACAGATTTGAACCAAATTTAGTTTTCAAGGATTTAGTTTTCGATTTTATTGGGGGATAAAGTTTAAACCTAATCAGTATGTTTGGTTATCTTTGCAATGTCATTCACAAAATTTTTCTGTAAATATTTTGTTTAAATTTTGGTTACTATAAAAACTTAAATATTTTTTTACTTAAGGGAAAATTTAGCAGCAGAGTGAAAAGTTAATATTGCTTTAGAATTTTCACAATAACATTGCTTTAGAATTTTTAATAGTTATTTTATCATTAAGTTAGTTTATCATTTAATTGCACATGTTAAACAGAGTTTTACATAACTTTATAATAAAAATAACTTATTTACCATTTAATAATCGTAAAATGTTAATTAAATAACTTTATCATAAAATGTTGCATAATAAGGTACTTCAAAAAATGCTTAGCTTTAAGCGTTCAGTTTTCAGGGATGAGATTAGCCAAAAGGTAAAAAAGCTGAATTTCCACCAAATTAAATTTTACGCAAGCGCAACCCTTTAATAATAAATTCCAGATAGTTTAAGGTAATAAATAATGTGTTGACATACAATTGTGTACTAATCTATTATTATATGAACGATTACATTGCTACTTAACATTTAGTGAAAATAAAAATTAACAATTGAAAAAATAAAGCTGGAAATTATATTTTTCCTCAGTTCACATAAGAGACAATTATTACTTGAAAAACTACCTGGTTTAGCAAATTAAAACTACTGAGAATATACATTAATATTTCATTTCTTTTAATAAATACTGTTATGTGATTTATAGCAAATATATCAGTAATATTACTTTTTAAATTATATTGGAAAAAAAAACTTTAACAATGGACCGAATCATTATGTTCATATTATAGTCTAATCTAACTAGAGCCCTCTGAAACATATCAATAACAGTGAAGTAGAAATATATAGTAACTCCTTAACATACAAAAATTGCTATTTTAGTTTGAAAAATTACATGACAATCAGCAACTGTTTAGATAATTGTTTTTTATTTGATAAGAATTTTGCATTTTATAGCATAAATAACAGCAATTATAAATAAAATTTTGATGATGAGTTAATTAACTCTTTTTCCCCCCAAATTTTTTTTTAATTAAATCCCTTTTTAAGTGATTGCTTTTGTTTGCTATATCTTTTATGTTTGCTATATTTAGTCGTTAGTCCATCTTCAAACATCTTGTGACAAATCCTATTTTTTCTTCTTTGCAAGCACAGAATGTAAGTTTTGAATATATTCCCTTCCAGTTTCTCTGATGTTGTAACACTTACATATACTAATAATCGTCGTTAGAAAAACAGTCACCTTTATAGTAACTAATTTTAAAAAAATTTACTTCTTACAAGAATCGCGATAGTTGATCTTAAAATTGCGTGAATATGAATAACAATTATGGATTTTGAAATCACATGAATATGAAACTAGATATACGATTTTGAAAATGAGAAAATACAAACTGGGATATAGAATTTTTAAAACGCGTAAATACAAATCACGATTCATAATTTTTAGATCGCGTAAATACGAATCATGATGCGTAATTTTTAGATTGCATAAATAAGAATTATGATGCATAATTTTTAGAATGCGTGAATGCGAATCCCAATGCCTTATTTTAAAATCACGTATAAATACGAAAATCAATGTTTGATATTATAAACCGCATGAGCAAATCAAGACATTGAATTTTAAACTTGCGTGAATACGAATCGCTACATAGGTTTTTAAAAAGGCGTAAATATGAATCATAATATCGGATTTTTAAATATTGTAAATAAGAATCGCAACGTACAATATTCAAATCGCGTGAATAAGAATCGCAACACGCAAATATGAAAAACTATGTTTGATATTAAAATCGTGTGAATAAGAATCGAGATATTCGCAGATTCCAGGCTTGGCACAGTTGAGCTTGGACCATTATGTCACCATGAGCTTGGCACAGTTGAGATTGGCGCCATTGAACTACGAATTTCAGTGCATTATAGGCTTGACAGAAGCAGCGCCATTTGAACTACGAAAATCGGATCTATCTGGAGGGCGGGTAAAAAATTCGGAAAATCTTATCTGTTGCGTGTAAAAGGGGAGAAAATAGCTAAAATAAGTAAAAATGAGAAAGGATTGGTAGCCATGCAGTTTGAATTTTCTGTTTCTCTTTGAAAATCGGTGAATTTTATAAAAAAAAGTGAAATTTTTAGAAAATCTGAATTTTTGATAACAAAGCTGAAATTCAATAGATAAAAGTGAAAAAAGCGGAAATCCGCTAAAAAGCGGAAAAATCTCATCCCTGAGTTTTGAATAAAAAAAACCCTAATAACAGAGAATAACATTATGAAGGGATAATAAATAAATATTGCAAGTAAATAGCATTAAGTAAATAATTTACAAATAAATATCCTTGCAACTTTTATTCCGATTAGGCAGGCGACAACGATAGAAATGAAATATAAAATATCTGCAATGGAAATACATCAACAATAATAACACCTTGAATATTACATTAACAATTCAACATTTTCCACTTACTTAAAAATTAGCAGTAAATTTCATTCAAAGTAAATGAACACTTTTAATATACCTAATATATTAATTGAAAGCATCATGACTAGGATAAAAAGAAGTTTTTAGACAGTAAATAATTGATTGATTGAATGTAGGATTTAGTGGCACAAGGTCCAAATTAGGACATGCTGCGCCTAGACAGTAAATAAATGGTATAAAAGAATATTGAATATAAAAGTGAGTTATCTACTACAATTTATGTATCGAACAGAGAAAAGATAAGTACCTGTGTACAATGCTCACAGTATATATAATCTGAGCACACAGAACAGTTATCAGGATGAATAACTAGGAAACTAGGTTTGCCATTTTTTTGACACAACACTTGATGCACAACATGACTTTTGGGATAACATTGCTGATTGCTTTCACACCAGCCACATAAAGTATCTGTCAAACAGGACAAGCAACTGCTATGTTTATAACAAGTTCCATTTTTGTACAATTCTAAATGTTTATGATCAATAACCTAAAATACAAAATTGATAACATAGGTGAATTTAAAAAAATGTAGTATATTTACAAAATACATATAATTTATAAATTTATTCATGATTGTATACAAATCATATAAATACATTCTGAGAAAATGTAAACTTTCACAATTTCATAAATATTGAAAATATTATTGATTTTTTGATTTAATCTTAGAAAATATCTATTACATTAAGATTTAAATTAAGTAGACGAAATAGAAAGTACTAAAACAAAAACTTTGAAATTAAATCCTCATGCTGTTTGTGCTTAGTACAAGGACTATTTTATTTAAAAATATTTAATAATTATTGGTTACATAATATAAACTGTTTTATAAGAACAAATGTCTTTTTATAGTTAGTAGAATGTGGTCCTTGTACTTGAAATAAGTTTAGTTTAAGTTTGGTTCTTTTTCAGAAAATTAAAAGGAAATAATTATTTTTATGAAACATGATATTACTTAAGTGCTAAAAAACATAAGAAATATCTAAATTGATAACAAAATTGAAATCGATTTAATAAAATAGATAATAAAATAAAAAAGAATAAACTTTTAATAATAAAATAGATTTAGTATTGAACTAATTGCTAAATAGAGGTTTCATATTTACTTTACATTTATCAGCAAAATGAATTAGTTTTTTTTTCTTTTTCGTTTTGATCACTAAATCAGCTTCTACATTTTACTTAGCTTATGTTCTATACTTTATATTTTGAAACAGTAACTTACTTCAAATTCTACTGAGAAAGCTGTCCACTTTAGCTGTACTACAGATGTTTCATTTAAGTAGGCTGGTATTCTGACTGTGAAGTCAAACAAGTATTTATGGCCTTCAGATGGATCTGAAAAGAGAGGAACACCTCTTGCTCTGTGAACATCAGAACAGTAAAAAGAAGGTCTTGGGCTATGACTTGCTACCACTTCCTATTAAATAATAATAAATGAATAAAATAAATAATTCAGTTTTCAAATAAAATTTTGATTCCATGTAGGGCAGTTTTTCATAATATTTTTTAGTTTACACTACAGCACAGTATTTTGAACAATTTATCTTCATGAGTATTAATCATTACTTTTGAAGTATTAATGCAATAAATAATAAGACAAACAAAGTAATAAGTATATGAAGCTAATTTTTTTAAAATTTTGGTGTCAAATTTTGTGTTGACCCAATAATTTGAAGTTACTTTTTATTAACCTTGAGATTTCATTGCTTTTTTAAGAAAAAAAGGTGAATAAAGTGAGCAAAAAATTAAATTTATACTAAAGAATAAATTTTATCAATACAAACACGAAATTTCTATTTATTATCATCATGAAATCATTTGAGACTTGATTGTATATTTATTATAATCAAATTTTTCTTCACAATTCAGGACCATTATTTTATCAGTGAAAGGAGCATAAAATTTCACCAGATAAATATCACTCTTTATTGTTTTTCTAATTAAGCAATACTAATTATAATTAAAGAGACCATATTAGGGCCATTCAGTAATATTAGCAGAACTTGCGTAGATTTATATAGTTTAAATAGCTGATTATTTAACAAACATGAATTTTGGCTAAAATGATCTCTTCTACCAAATTAATTTACAATACTACAATTAATTCCTCAAATGAAGTAACAGCTGTTTCATTAGAACAAATTTTAACTTACTTTAAAAATTGAACAATTTATTGCTATAAAAAACCAATGAGTAAAATCTGATACGAAGTTCACACACAAAATGGTAAATGATAAAAACAGTAATAAAATGAAGAAACAACAAGTCTAATGACTTTTAAAACATTTTTTTTCCACAAAAAGATTTACATAAAAGATATATTTTGCTACAGAAATTTTAAAGGAATCTAAATGAAGACAATAATAAAATATATAAAATGTTAAGTACTTTTTAGAAAAATAAATATGAAAATCCCATTTTTTTTGCTAAACTTTTTAAACTTAGAACTTCAGAAATTTTTGATTTAATAAAATTAACAAAATAACCTTAAAAACAAGTATTATATGAAAAGCTACTTTTTAAAACATAATAAAAAAGTAGTAGATGTTTCTTTACAATTATAAATATCTTCTTATATTAGTTTCTTATATTATAAATAATAATGACAGCAAAATAAATAAATATTGCAGATTTCAGTTAAAATTGCATTTACCAGATTATTTTGAGTAGAATCATTGCTCAATTTCAACACAGCATTAGAGCCAGCAGAACAAATTGTGAGACGCAGTTGGGACATCCTCTCTGAAAGGGGCCTTGCATTTAAAGGGTGAAGAAAACCTAAAAATTTAACTATGTTTTCTTCCATTCCATTGGCATCATATCTTTGGATTTCTGAACGGAAAAGTACTTCTTCAGAGGCTTGATGTAAATAAACCACCTTAAAAACATCATTAATAGCTGTAAGCATTGTTATTTGGAAAGTTTCTTACAGAAGTCGAACATATTCATTTTGCGACACATTTTTATGATGGTTTTAAATCAGTTAAATGAAGATATTATTAAGATCATTATGGGATTGTTTACTAATCAACATTTAGCACATAATAAAAAACAATATATTCCAAAAATGCTTCAATTTCACTTTATATATTTAAAATGAATTCCAAGAAAAAAAAACTTAAGTGAACTTAAAAGGGATAACAGCGATAAGAATGTAATACTTTAGAGCCTTGATCAATAGTTTCTCATGCGGTCATTCAGTGCAAGCGATAGATGCAGGAAAACAATGCATGCGGTTTAACATAAAATGCTAAATAATGACTTGAAAAGGTGTCTAAAATTAGCAAAGAAGTAATGGACCTTTTATAATAATAATAAATGCACAACAATTATAAAAAATTTTAATTGAAAAAATTATGTACTTACTGCAAAAATATTTGCAATAGAAAAAAAAAGAAGATAAATACACACATTTATTTAAAAATCTTGGTTTCAATACACTTTTTTCTTTTTAGACTTGACATTCGTAACAGATTGCTGTTAAATGTTAACACAGAAAGTTCCTAATTAAACCAACATTGATTTCTCAATACAAAAAAAAAAGGAGAAATTTTTGTAAAATTAAAAAACATACATACATCATCAGGTTGAGATAAATTAACAGGATGACGGTATTTAACAGACACAAGACCAGGAGGCGAATCTTTAGTGTAGCATTCTTCCAGAATAGATGCATCATATCCTACAGAGCCCCACCAGCTATTTGTAGCAGGTCCACCAGAGCTTGAATTGGATGAACAGCTGGTCATTGTGTCTGAAAATAATTGATAGTGAAAACAAATTGATAAAGTAGAACTGAAAATCTACAGTGGTATACTCTTAGTGTAAACTTTTTCCATAAACATCACAAAATCAATCGAGAAGAATTGCTATGATATTAATAGTGCATCTATACAAACTTTTAAATGATTATGTGAAATATGCCACAACGTTCTTGAATTCAGTATTTAGATTAGTTTTAGGATACAACTTATTAAGTATAAAGAAACTAAAGGGCAGATAAATGACACATGATTATTTGTATCACACAAGAGGAAGTACTACTTATTGCATTCTCAGTTCTCAAAGAAACATCTAGATATTAACCACATTTTTTCTTAGATGCTAAACATATTTTTTTAAAAATCTAGCATAACAATTAAAAACAAAAAAAACTTAAGACATTTGAAGAAAAAAAAATTTAAGTTGTAAGTTAATTACTTAATTTGTTACCTAACATAAGAAAAATTTAGAAAGTATTTCATATAGTAAATGCTTTATAATTCAAAACAAACATATTATTTAACAATTAATAGGAATACTCAGAAATGAGAGTACATAAAATTTAAACAATTGTGTTATAACAAACAGCTGGCATTGAACATTTGTTAAACTATGGGGCACTTCTGGATTTACTGTAAGAGATTATTAATTAACTACAGCCCAGTTGGATCCACTTTCAAGTCATTAAGAATTGTGGATTCATTGGCAGTGTAACATGGTGTAAAATCATGAAAGCAAAACAGGATTTGAAATCAAATACTTCACTTTTAAAATTTAAAAATAAATTCCTTTAAGATACTGGTACACAATCATTTTAAAAGAAGGCCTACTGGTTCAAATAATTGAGTTTGGGGGGGGGATATACTCGTAGATTTATTATTCAAAGCATATGTACTGATTGTGAAACAATAATTTTTGGTAATAAAAAAGTTTTATATTAAAATAAATTTAAATTAATAATGTACCACATATCAGCATTACTGGAGACAGTTTTAAATAAAAATAACTTACGATTTACCCTTGTACGTATTTTAATTTTCATGAAATTATAAGCATAAGTTTCTTAGCTTTGTCTGCATATATTTTACTTTTTAAGATAATCAGAGCAGAAATGAAAGGCAATGTTGTTGTCTTTTGAATATTTCATAAATTTTGCCTAAAAAATTATTTTTATATTCTCTCTTTCATTGGAGTTATATACTATTTCTGACTTCCAAAAAATGGTTTGCAATTATGTTCAAAGTACACTTATCGCCTTGTGTAAAATGATAATCGACAATGACACTAAGACCTTTATTAATATGATCATGCACACAAAATAAGAAAATAATAACAATCTTTTCTTTCCCAGACTAAATAGTTAGTCAAATACTTTAATAATTAGCCAATTTTATACACAATATGATTAGACTGTGATAAAATAATTATAAATCAACTATTTCTGAAAATGCTAAGATAAATTTTAGTAGGCAATCCTTACCTTCTATAGAATGACATTTCATATCAGGCACACACCAGGAACAGGAAATAACTGGAAATGGATCCTGTTTATCAGTTATGACATTTTCAATGAAAGACTGACCCCATATCAAGCAAGATGGACAATCACTTAAGGCAGAACAAAACCCGGGACAAAAATCAGCTGAGAACTCACTGCATGTCTAAAGGGGAAAAATATACATTAAGACAGTGGGTAAGAAAGAAAAATTATTAAAGTGAAAAAGCAGTCTGATTAATGATACAATTCAGAAAAACAAACTATAATCTTACAATAAAACAAAGACATTTAGATACATTATATAGTATCAGATAAAACCTATAGTAAAAGGTAGTGGCATAACTATTCACTTTCAAAATAGAAAGCTTAAAGGTAGACATATTTTAGCACAAACTCTAAAAATAATGATAAATAACCATCCATGCCTAGACAATGTTATAATTAGTAAAAGCTAACAAGTTACAGTCTGAAAATGTTCGATTTTCAAAGCCAAATCCATATAAATTTCATACTGGCATCACATGTTTATAATAAATAAAATATTTTAAGAAAACATGCCTACAATTAGCTGTTAATAAAATAAAAAAAGGGGCAATTCAAATCTTCAATCTCAAACGAGCACTATACCATCCTTTTACACTAATTGAAACTATCTTCTGAAAATACCACCTTGATCAAAAAGTTCCCGGAATAACCTCCGGGTGGCGCTACCATAATTCTGATTTGAGTTTTGTTTCTCTTTGTTAAGTTGGTACATCTGTTGTTGATATTTCCTCTAAGTCTTAGCATCATAGCTTGACGTTTGCAAAAGTTACATAGTCAAGAGTACATCTATTTCTGTGTGTGTTGGCAATTTTTTACAATTTCAGAAATGGATTTAAATTTGCAACAATGAACTTGTATTAAATTGTGCGTAAAAAACGGATTTAATTGTGCGCGAACGATGGAAATGTTGGAAAAGTGTTTCGGCAACGATTCTCTGAAGAAAACGGCCGTTTACCAGTGGCACGAGCGGTTCAAAAGTGGTCGTGAGTCAATCAAAGGTGATGAACGCAGTGGCAGACCATCGACATCGAAAACATTGAAAAAGTAAAAAAAAAAATGTTGGTCAACAACCATCAGAGAGATAGCGGAGGGCTTGAACATTGCCTATGGATCCGCCCAAGACATTTTGGTTAATGATTCGGGTTTCGGTCATGTAGCAGCAAAGTTGGTGCCAAAGGACCTCAATTTCACGCAAAAAAAGAGACCGCGTTGATGTCGCAAAAGACATGATTTGCGAGGCTGAATCCGATCCCACATTCATCAAAAGGATCATTACTGGAGACGAGACGTGGATTTATGAGTACGGCATGCAATCCAGACATCAGGTAAGTGAATGGCGTTCATAAAAGTAAAAATTGCAGGAAGCACTGATGGACATACTGAAAACTGAATATAAAAAATGTTTCGAGGATTGGATCAAGCACTCGCATAAGATTGTTGCAATCGATGGGGATTACTTAGAAGGGGATAATATATAGATTTAGATGAATAAACTTGTAATTTTAATTTTCTGAATAAATTCTGGGAACTTTTTGATCAAGGTGGTATGGCAAAATTAAAATTACTTTACAATTAATTGAACCTTAGCAATATTATTATTTAGCTTTCTAAATAAATATCTTCTGTCAATTAAAACAAAAAATATAGCACTAAAAATATCGTTTTTTTTATACACAAAACTTTGCTGCTATATCAAGTTAGTTAAAAAAACTCATTTTTGCAGTTAGAATTGAAAAAAAAAATTTTTTTGAAAAAATTTTATGATTGCAATAGAGAACAAAAGAAACTCACATATTATTTCTCAAACTCAAAGATAGCACAAAATTCAAAGCATAAATCATTTAAATATATTTTAATAGTACTATGTATTATTAATCTAATATATCTAGTAATTAACTTCAATCAAATTATTTAAGAGGCAGGAATTTAAATGTACATGAAGAAAGAAAATAACATTGACAGACAGAAATTTTTAAAACATAAGAGATGAGAATTTTGAAGTAAGATTTTAATAATTTAACATTTAACAATAACTGTAGAACTCAATAAAAACTAAAACATACAAAATTAAAATGAAACAAAATAAATAACAACTAATTTCATAAGAATTCATATAAATCCATTTAATAAATTATAGCAAAAAATATTTCACCTATTCAAAAAACTATAAAAATGATAAATTTTTTACCACTATTAATAGCTGGAGTTATAATTAATTTAATGAAAGTATATCAAAGACTACTGAAATCAGACTAGCATCTCAATGTAAATCTGACTCACCATAAAACAACAGCATCTAAAGTTTAGATTTATAATTATACACACAACCGATTTTTTTTTTCAATTTTAAAAAAATGTTATTAAATATTTTCATTTATCTAAAGTTAAAATTAATGTGTACTATATCTCCTCGATTATATAAAGTTATTGAATAGGTTTATACTCTGAGTTTACCTTGTGCATCTTCCTTTCAATGCAAGCATTAGATGTGAAGCACCAACCACAGGCCAAATTAGCTAAACAGCTCTCCATCAGCAAATGTCTAATTAAGATACATTGAAAGTTTATCAATGAAACATTCATTTAAATAATGCTTTGGAAATGAACAGAAATAAATTACAAAATACAAATAAAATGAAATAAAAAAATAGAAAATTAAATGCAAAATTATAAAAGGGAATAGATTCAGTCATATAGATTTAGGAAGTTAAAAAAGGCTAAATTATGATTGTAAATATCTTATTTTATATTTGTTACAGTTTGGTTAAAATTAACTTGCTACTTGCTAATATTCTTAAAATGCAACAATCAAATATTTTTTACGCTATGATAGGATACAACATAATATAGTCGAACATTAAAAAAAGATAAGAGCTATATTTTACAAATACTTAAACAATTTTTGATGCACATGCTTCATTTTAAAATAATGAAATTATTTAATATCTGTAATAAAACAAGTGGTGAGATCTGATTTTTACATTTAAAATGACCTTATAAATACAAATTTACTAAAAAAAAGACATCACATATTTCTAACACTTTAAATTTAATACTCAATTATAAGTTAGTAGGAATACGCGATTAATTTATTGAATCAAGAGTATAATAAGTTTTTTTTTCAGAAAATCAAGGTTCATAGCATTTATTTTCATAAAAAAAACAAATCATGTACTAAAAAGTTTAAAATAGATTTAAAATGCAATTTAAAATTAAAGTAATAAATTTTTTTGAAGTCATTTTATTCTCTATGTTTCATATAATAGGGAACTCTTGACTTATAAAATTATTAATGCTTTAAAGGTTCAAATACAAATGCAATCTGTAGGACATAAAATTATGCAAGTTTATTACTTTGAACAGGAATTCACAAGTAATTGCTCATTTAAAACAGCTGTTGGTAGGACATATGCCAACAGATGAGAACGCATCAGTCCACTGTAACCACCAAATATCACTAATGTATGACCTCGTCTTACATCCATAGAATGAGAAAATACTCCTTGTTTAATGGGATTGCTGGGTCCTATGAAATAAAATTTTAATTTACATCAAAATAACAAATTAATATTTATTTTTCATAATAAAAGGTAAAATTAAGAATTAACTAAATATTAAAAATTAAAATAAAAAATATACACATGAATAAAGTAGTCATTTTATTATTTTAACTGCACAATGAAAAAAAAAAAAACTCTGTTGAATTGCTTTTGCTCTAATCATTATATTTTAATGTACAATGTCTGTCTGCATGGTTCAAAAAAATTGACATCAAATATGTAAACTAATTAGTGTTAACTGAAAGTTAAATTATAAAATCATGACACAAAAAGAACTTTTGCTGATCAAATATACTTTCATTTTGATAGGTTTGAAATTGTGACCATATAAATATAGGTGGTAGCTGTAATCTGAAAAATTTGATCCTAACAGTTTAGGCATTAGAGCAATCAAAAGTTTAGCCATACTGATGTTAATTTCTCCTTTTTGTATATTTCACCATATTTCGTAAAATTTCAATAAAACAATTCAAAAACTTTTTACACACAATTTTAAAACTCACGCAACCAAAGATAATTAATTCCATAAAAAAATATTTCAAATAAGACATGCAAAGGTTACATAATTTTACACTATGAAATTTTATGAGACAACATAGAAATTTTATGGGACAACATACAAATTTGAGTAAAATTTGTTTCTCAAAAGTGAAAATTTAAAAATACAACATTCTTAACTTAACTATTTAACTGATTTTATTCAAATTTTGTATTTAATCATTGAGGGTTTTTCTATAACTCACAATGCAAGATTGTTTTCCATTATTAAATCAATAAAAAAATTAAAAAAAATTATTATAACAATTTATAAACAGTAAAATTAACATAAAGAGATAATGACACAAGTTTATTAAAACAAGCATTACCAATTTATCTAATAATAATATAATGAAGTAATAATAACCTTCAAAATCTTTCCTTAGACTAGAAAAATCAATCCACTTATGACACTTCAAATGATACAGATGAAATTCATTATCATAGCATATTTCTTCTTCAACATGCTTATGAGTATATCCTCCATAGATAATCATGTAATCACCAACAATGGCTGCAGAGTGGAAAGCTCTTTCAAGAGGAGTAAAATGAGTCCTTTCATATTTAACTTGAATCCAATATTTGGTTTCTGTATGAAAAGCATGAATTTGGTTGGATAATTTGCTTACATGAGAATACTCAGCGGTGATACCTCCAAATGCGAAAATGGTTTTTGTTTGTTGATGATATACTGCACTGTGCCCAACTAGCCTGTAATTACTTTCTTTACCACCATTTGTGTCCACCATTTCCCAACCATTCATGTCTCTGATGTTGATTCTATACATTTTGGATGAAAAAGTGCCATCATATACACTTCCTCCAATGACATATAACCAGTAGAAATCTACTAGTGTCATTGAATGTTTTGTAATGGGAGGTGGCACTATGTGATTTTTAGAAGTGATGAGATTCCACTGCAAACTTGACGTATTAAAAAACCAAAGTTCATTTGAGAGGGTGCCGTTTGCCATTTCACCTCCAAAAATGATGATGTTATCAAGATAACACACAGCAGTATGACCATGCCGTGCACTGGGGGATTGCTTTGATGTTATGTTTGTCCACCTGTTGGTCCTGAATGAGTAAACAAGAGTGTCTCCTAATACTTCTTTAAATGTAAAACCACCAAACACATAGTAGCTATCAGTATGTTGTACATATGTGCCACTGTGACCGGCTCTGGCATCGATACCACTGGAAGATATCAAATGCCAAGTGTTTCCAAAACTTTTGTTGGAATCCGGAAGACTACAATCCATTCCAGAGAATCCAGGTCTGCAATTGCATCTTGGAGGGTAGGAACCATTCATGTCACATGCACCCCTGTTTTCTTCCAGGCCACAGTCCATAGGACATAAGCTGATATCACAAGCATCTCCAGACCACAGGGTGTCACAAATGCAGCGATGATTTTGGCACATTCCTCTATTGCTGCAATTCAATGGACAATCAGTGACTACATAAACTGCCTCAAAGCCATTTCTCACATAGTTTGTATCACTATAAAGTAATATCAGCATCTGAAACACAAACAAAAATATTTAAATATAATAAAATTTTCTCCCTGCTTTATGTAATTGGAAATTATCTAATAAACAATTATGTAATTGGAAATTACATAATTGTTTGCAGCTAAAACATCAAAATGTAATATGGAACAAGATATTAACACACAGTTATATAGTTAAATTATTAGATTAAAGATATTTTTTATAAGAAAATAATGCAAACTAGAAACATTTACATAATATAAAAAAAAAATAACTTATTGAATAGTATTATTATATTTTTACAAACTGCTCTGATAAAAGTATTAAAAGGAGATACTAAAAAATATTAATATAAAATAATGAAAAAAATTTAAAAACATGTTTTACAGAAAAAATAAAATAAAATAAAGCTTATGAAGATAACTTAGAAGTAACAGGAAAATAACTCACAGTCCCTTGAGTAGTAGTGACCATTGGTGGTGTAGTATTGCCACTGAAACTCCCCAAAAGTGGACTTGCGTAAGAATTTCCATCATAAATATATACATGGTCATATGAGCATTCAGTATCCATTTTCGTAAAGGTGAGAGTAATATATGACCTTTCATCATCAGCTAAAAGTAAAGTTGACAAATAAAAATGCTTAAAAGAAAACCCCTGCATATTTAACATTATAACACTATGGTTATGCATAAGGACCCACATAAAAAGAGGGACACAGGGAACTAAATAAATGATTGTTAAAACTGGCCGCTTGTCAAATTCAAGATAAGAACAAAAACGTATACAGAGCATTTTCCATTATTTCTGATACTATTTCATACTTCAAAAATTATTATCCCTGATAAACCTGAGAAAGTGTAAAAATTGCTCACTAAAATAGTAAATTTTAATATGTTTACAACATTGCATAAACCAAAACATTCCATTTCACGGGCTAAATCTGGAATCTAAATAGCGGCCTGATAAAAACGAGTTCTACTGCATTTATTTTTGGACTTAGTTTATTTTACATGGTTTATGGATAGCATGTGTATACTCAAAATCAGCTTCAGTCAACAATATAAAAAGAAAAATGAAAAGTAGGTACAGTTGGTATAGTTCGTTCACCAGGAGTTGGCACTCGGTTCCGTCTTCATCACGTGGTATCCGACGATACAATTTCGCTATTTTTGGGAGAAGTATGTGAACAATCCTAAACAAGGTTGCTATTTGGCGATCATAAAAATATTTATTTTACAATTTTTATGTTCATTTTTTTTAACATGTGCATTTTATTTCATAGATTTGAAGATATTTCTCTCTTTTGCATGAATAGTTTGTCCATTTTGAGATATTTGCTGGGAAAAGAGCAGTTTTTAAATGCAAAATATTTAATTATCTAGAGCAGAGGTCGCCAAAGTGGTCTATATAGACCCCCAGGGGTCTATTTAACAAAAGCGGGGGTCGATCTGAGCCAGGGGGGCGAATGGGGGTCGATCCGAATCGGAAGGGTCGATTGTCGGTCGGGAAAAAAAAACAGTTCTCAATACGCAAATCACAAATACCTAATTAAGTATGTAAAATTTGTGAATTTTTTTTATAATTGACTCAATATCAGTTTCTTTACAAAACATAAATTAATAAACGTATATTTATTGGGGTAAAGCAAGTATTTACGTACCACCGCGCAGCGGCACGAACTCAGTGCAGTGTATAAGTCATATGCATATGTGCGCTTGTCCAAATGTCACGTGTGACGAGCATTGACGTTACTCATACGCAGTTTCGGCTATCTTTGCAAACTGTGTTGAATATTTGCAGTGTCATTATTAAAACTTTTATGGTTTTTGAAAAATAATTATTGTTTCGATAAAACCATTCGTTTAGCTTAGATATTAATTTTAATTATCAATGCACAAAAAAGAAGGTAAGCATTAATAATATGGATAAGTACAGCCAGCGTCAAAACTATTGCACACTTCGTATTTTTTTACGAAAATTACAAAATTGACCATTTTTGACGAAAATTAAAATTGACCAATTTTGAACCCAATATAGTGAACCTTGCAAAAAAACACCAGGCACACCCATCTCATTGATCAAGAAGCAGTAAATTTTTAGTTACTTTACTTAGTATATCCATTTATGCATAATTACTTTTAATTTAATAATAAGGTATTTAAATTTCAATGTTAATATATTTTTCATAAAACTATTGTGACACAATGCACTATTACTTTAATAAATGTTTAAAATCATAAAATAAATGTACAAACACAGTATCTAATAGAGTTTTATTTTAATTAACAGAAAATTAGTTTTGTGGGGGTCGATGGAGACTTCGAAAAATTATATAGGGGTCGATGATCAAAAAAGTTTGGCGACCCCTGATCTAGAGTAACGAAAGGTATAATAGCAGATGATAAAACAAAGTAAGTGACTGAAAAAGAATTCACTGTTTGTGTTTGCCGTGCATTACAAGTTCTCATTTTCAAGTGCGGAGATGTTACTCCTCTTACTTTCGCGCTGAAATGAACTCTGCGTCTGAGGAGGTGGAGACAAATCCTGGTGAATGAACTATATGTGGTGTGACATAAATTACCCTAATCATGGTTCACAGTTTTATATTTTTTAAAACTTAACAATCTTGCTGTTTCTGTATATAACTTTGTGATGGTCACTGGTTATAAATAATTCTTGGGAATTCACTTTGGCCCTACTTTCAAATAAGTCTAAAAACTTAACCATTATCAAAAAGAGATAAAAATTTTGCAAATTTATATATATATAAATATAAACATTTACAGATTAGCCTTTTGTGGGAATCATGGAGGTTACTGCACTACATTTTCGTAATAAATAGCATTGTGGCCATACGTTCAACATAACACACAAGCTGTATTTACATTACATCTTTTAAATTTTTTACATTTACATCTTTATACTACTAGATATATCGACGTTCATTGATCTGAAGCTAGGTTGATTTTAAATTTCCTTATATGATCGAGTTCTACAGAAAGACAGCTCAGTGTCCTCAAGCACTGAGCTACCACAGCTCAATTGAAGAATATAAAACCTCCTATTACAGAACCATAAAGACCATACTATTAATGAGCTGTTAGAATTATCAAAGATGAAGAGGGTATGGAAAAATGTCCACCCTTGTTATTAGATAAATTAAAATTAATAAATAAAGTAAAATGGATAATATTGAAAATACAGAATAAGTTAAGGATAATTATGTAAGAAGAGAACAAAAATTTTTTGAGTTACCTCTAATAAGCCATTCACAATGAGAATCCATAGGGTATTCTTTGTTTCCGCTTGAAACTGTTCCATAATCATCTGTCAAAACTTTGCGTTCTCTATCACAGCTCAAATTAGATGGATTTAAATCAGGATCAAGGGCAGGAATAACTAAGGACAAACACATCAGAAAAAAGATGGGCACAAAAATGTGCTGGATGTTCTTCTTCATCCTGATGGAGAAAGAACTTTCAAATGAATGGTGGGGGACAAAAAGCAGTGTTGTCCACCAGAATGGTAACGGGAGTGGTGCATGAAATACATCTTGGATCGCACCAATTTCTTAAGTCCAAGGCAACCAGAACACATCTACATTTTTGAGGCACATCCTGAAATTAAAACTTAATATTAGACATAGGGATTTGGCTTTCCGAACAAAGAATAACAAAAATGTTTATTTTTAACTAAAATGCTTTTGATAAAGATTATTTTTATGACAAGATATTATTTTTTTTAACAAATATAAGCCACTAGAATTATGGATTATTTAAAAAAAAAATGTAACCAGATAAAGCGAGAATTGATAATTGAATATACATTGCTTGATTTAGTAATAAGAATAATGGCAATTAAGCAATGCTTAATTCAGCAGTGGAATGAAAGAAAAGTTTTTAATATTATTCAGTACTTAAAATACATGGTGGTTCCTTGCCCTAGGACCACTAAATTTAGACTAGGAGCACCATAAAATAATTATCAGAGATCCCCTAGACCAGCAGTCAATGTTATTGGATGTTGCTGTTTTAGTTTTTTCAGCTTAGTTCTTTATACAAAATAGCAAATTTCTCATAAGTGTAAACAGTAAAATTCTTTCAAAACTATTTCTTCTTTTAGGTTTAATTAATTAACCTTGTTTAAAAATAAAATATATATATATAATAGAGACATGTAAACAGACAATGGAAAATATGTACAGACTAGCATCTTTCAGATACAGGTCCAAGAGACTAAAGTTACTTAATTTTTAGCCTTGTCATTATTATTTTAATCATATTTAAAACATTAAAGGAAATAGCAATCTCTTAAATGATTTTTAACATTAGTTCAGATGCTTGTTTTAACCCTACAAGAAAGTAGAATAAAGAATTCCAGATTTAATTTTTCAATTTGTTTTTGAGAGTCTACATAATACATTTAAGTGAAACTTATAAATAAAATAACTAACACATTAAATTTTTGTTTTACTATGACATAATAATAAGAAAATGTAGCATAATTTAAAATAATAAAATTTCAGAAGTTTCTTCTAGAGCAAAAGAGAAAAGACCCCCAACAAAAAAGCATACATATATATAAATCAAATAAATATGTTTACATAAAAATACAGTTTAATTTATGAAATTTTCAAGGTAATCATAAAATAAAAGTGAGGGAAATTATAGAAAAACCAGTTTTAAAATTAAAATTCAAGTTTATTCCCACAACTTACAAAATAAAAGCTTAATCTTAAATGGGGAAATTTCCGACAAAATATTGGGAACTATATGAAATTGAAAAAAATAAATATTTTTTATGAAAACAAATGCTCAGATTAATTGGAAAACAAAAAAAATACTTCGTCCTAAATTTAAATGACAGATTAGCTTCATCGTATTTCGGATAACAATTAGCACGTTTATACACAATAACTTGACAAGTAAAACTGTATAAATGTTGCGAAAAAACGAGCTATTTTGACTAAAGGAAATTAGTTAAATAGCACATCCTGTCGAAACAACATTTAGATTGTTTAAAAACCATTAAATAGGTTTCTGTGTTTTGGAAATGAAGGTTGTTAATACTTAAGAAATAAATAAAGCACTTCTACCGATCAATAACAGTTTATTATTTTTATAAAATTATTAAAGAGTTTGACAGTTCGTACCTCTTGCATCATTTGTCACGGAAACCACATATGTATTTTATTATTATTTATCTGGATTTCGCGACTACAAGAAAAAGTCTATCCGCAACTGAAGACCAGGCGCATGCGCAGTTTTTCTCGTTTGTTTATTTCTATTCTTCGTTAAGAATGTGAAATGTAACTGTACGAAACATAGAACTAAGCTATAAGCAAAAATTTTCTTTTGCGAGCGATTCTCACTGAAAAGCGTTTTGCGCAAGGATTGCTTCTAACTGCATGTATGTGAATTGTATGCAGTGAGAATTGTTTCTTAGATGTCAATCGCATTCGTGTCGCACTTGAGTGCGATTCAGGAGTGAGCCAGCAGTTCAGTTTATATAAGCATTCGCACATGCATGTAAATGAATCGTATATAGTCTGAACAACCCTTAGGAAGAACTCTCACTGCAGGAACGAGAAGTTCATTGAAAAGATTAGGAGAAAGGGTTGTCAAAGCACGAAAAGACATTGTCTCTACCATCGATCCAGTTCAGTGGTTCCCAAAGTGGTCCCTACGGACAATCAGGTGTCCATTGCATCATTCAGGGGGTCCGTGGAAAATTAAAAATTGATCTGGGGGTCCGTGAACAACATCAGGGACGCCCAAATCAATGAACTGTGTAAGATTTTATATAAAATAATAAAACTGTGATCAATTTTCATTATTATGGAAATTAAGATAAATGAAATAGTAGTGATTTTTACGTCCTAGGTAAAATATAAATATAGGTGGGTGCTTAAAATACAGTATGTTTCTTAAATACCGAACGTTACGTTATACCTTTTGCGAATGGACATTGACAAAACTTACTTCCACTGAATTTGTCATTGAATTGTAGTAAGAGTGGTGCGTATGCACGACTATTAGCGTGTACGCATACGTATAACTTATTTAAATGTTGTTATTAAAACTTAGACATTGTTCAATTTACTACAATAAATTTAACAACAAAATAATAACAATAAAAAAATCGAGATAATTCCTCAGAAAAAAAAGAAAGAAAGAAATATCCACTGACACACGCCTATGATTCAACAGTTCTAGATGGCGCCAGCTACTTAAGTTAATAAAAAGAATAGCACGGCACGAGATAGATGGAAGAAAACAGGTTTATACAGGAACGCAATAACGCCGCTACATGCACTAACTTGTCTACAATATAAACATAAACTATAAAAGAGTTGTATACATTTAATCAACAATTTAATTCTATGTTATGCTGATGTGAAGTGTATAAACAAATTTTCCCTGTCTTAGACAAAAAGAAGTTTTGTATTGTTCGTTGGAAGTATAGTTGCATTTTTTGTATTGTTACGCAGATGGTGTACTTTTGTTACACAAGTATATTTGAATAAAATTGATATCTTTCATAATTATATATCACATTTTTCAGTAACGTTAGTTAAGGGATTTTTTTAATTAATAATTTAGGAAGAGATTGTAATTTCTTTTTAATGCATATGTTTTTTTGAAAGAATTAATTATTGAGAATTATATTTTATTCAAAAATTACATGAAATTTTATCCTTACGCCAAATAATTAATTCCAAAGGGCTTTACTGCAGCAGTCCATTGAAAAAGTTTACAAATAAAACATTTGATAAATAAATTTTCTCATACCTTTTTGTCCCCTTTTTAACAGATGACAGTATGAGTCAGCCGAAGAAAAAATGCCGACCACACAGTGTTAAATATTTGAAATATGGTTTTATTTCTTCACCAGAAAATAGTACTTTACCTATGTGTTTCCTATTTAATAAAACTATGTAAAATGATTCAATGAAATCTTCCAAGCTTAAAGAACATTTAATAAAAATCCATAGTGACAGAAGAGATAAGGATTAAACTATTTTTCAAACAGTCAAAGAAAAATATTTGAAAACACTGTCACTGCAACTCATAGGGATAACATTCAAGCAAGATGACGATGGATTGCTTGTTTCTTATAGCATTTCCTTACTAATTGCCTCTTACTATTAGTGAAGAACTTATTTTACTAGCTGTAAATGAGGTAATACGCATCGTGTTGCACAAACCAGCTTTCGACGTTATGAAGAGAAACAAAACGACAAAACTGTCGTAGTTGCCACTAGGTTCAAATATTAGCCCCGGGTGGTTTTTTATTCCCAAAGATCAAAATCTCACTAGAAAACATATATTTTTTATAATTATGGCTACCCAAACGGCTGAAATAACAGCTCTAAAGACATAACATACACCGATTTCAAATAGTTTTAAGAAACATGTATTTCACGACTTTTGGTTCGTAACCCACATAGCTAGAAATATAAAAAACCCGAAAATTTCGGAATAAGAGAATAAATCTACCATTTTTGAGGAAATTTCCGGAAATTTTGGGAAAATTGGAATTTTTGAGGAGCTTTTTTTATTAATTATTTCTAAAATTTGCTAGTTTTTGGATTTTAATATGCCAAGAAATGAAGATAACATGATTATGAAAAATGAAAACAGAAAAGAAAGATGCTGTAAGTTCAAAACTAATTATTTTTATTTTCTCTGAAAGTAAAAAAAATCATTAGTTTAACTTCAGAGTTTGGTTATGATTTATAAAAGACTCAAATTCACTTTTATAAATTCTTTTTTAACAATGCATTTCATATTTATTTTATCAGGTTTAAATACATAAAATAAGTAAAAAACTACAAACACATTTTTTGCAAAATATTTCTATTAAACTTTAAATTAACATTTATAATATGTATATAAAATTAAAAAAAAAAAAGATTAAAAGGAAGAAATATTGATCCTTAATATGTCTAAATAAATTTAATTGGAAAAGTAAAAATCCTTAAAATGCTAATTTTATCTATTAAACTTTTTTTTAATAAAATACTTATATTGAGTTTTTTTCATTTAACTAAAGTGATAAAAAAAGAAAAATCAAAATACCCATGTGTTGGAAACTTTTAGAATTTTTCTCTCTCAAAATTCCGGTTTAACGCTGGGATTTAGCTGAGTTTTTTCTAGCCTTTGCTAGAACGTATATAACATGTGAAACACATAGTTTTGACAAAAGTTAAATTTATTGCTAATCTGTTCTGTTAATAGCATATGATATTTTCGGCTAGCATTTTGATATTTAACCAATACGACTGAATTCTAGAAATTGATGACTAATTTCAAAAAATGTTTTCTTACCAATTTCTTATAGATTTTATTTTTTTTTGCATTTAACTTCTAAAATATAAAATAAATTGTAATTATTACCCTGAATATATATATATATATTAAGGACAATGATTGCAGTTTACATATTTATACACACATATTTAGAAAATTTATGAAATTGACGGGAAAAAACGGATCAAATACTGACGAATCACTATTGAGGAGGGTAGGGTTAAAGATGTTCAAGTTTCATTAAATTATAACAGGAATTAGCCGCGTCGTTGAATGATGAGCCACGTTCAAAGTATTTTTGATGTTCATAAATAATACTTAATGTGTAACTGTAAAATTTTTGAAAAGAAATGAAGATAACATGAACTAGTTTATTATTATAATCGGGAATAAAAAGTTTATTAAATTCATTACACTATCAAAATACATCTACGATTAACTTCAGCTCGAAAAATAAGCAAATTGAAGCAGTAGTTCCTAAAATAAAAATATACATCATAACATATAAAAAAACTTCTTTACATGATTAAGAAATTCAAGATACATAAAGATTGTTTGAATTAGTGTTGCTTTTTAAATTAATGGAGGATCAACAGATTCAGCTTTAGATATAATATGGAATTTCGTGTTCTCTATCCAATAATTTAATTTAAATTGTTTATTAAATGCTTATTTATATTACGCAAAATGCAAGGATAGTTGAGTTTTCTGAGTGAGAAAAGCTTGTGGAAAAAATAAAAAATTTCAAATTGAAGGTTTATCTAGAAATTAAAATAAATACATATAGCGATTAAATTCGAGCATATGATAAGATTTAATTCTTTACTTTAATTTCTATAACTAAACTAATTGGCTGTCGTCTCATGTTTTTATAATAGTGAGAGAGATATTAATAATAGTAAGAGAGATAGTTGCAATAGTTTTATGTTTGAAAATGTATTTGTAACAGTTTTATATTTTAGTTGCAAATTTATTTTTAACTACTGAACTGTAGTTATTCTTTCAAATAATTACAAAAAAATTGATAAAATAGCAGTTATTAGAATGAGATCAAATATGTTACTAAAATGTGCTTGTTTTTTTAAGCAAAATGTTTTTGCAATGAAGCTATTAAATTGCTTCAAATGCGCATGTTGTCAATAAATAAATAAATAAATAAAATAAATAAATAAGCTATAACAGTTAAAGAGTGAATAAAAATATAACTACATGTACTGTAAAAAAGTTAAGTTTATCTCAAGACTATAAATAGTGGCAATTACTTTTTTTTACAGTGTTATATAACATGAAATCATTATGATCTATCACAAATTCTAAAATTTTTGTCGGTGCATTTTAACTGACGGGGAAATCGTATGGTAGGATCCTGTTTTCCCCCATTAATTTAAAAATTTTTTTTTCCAAAAAATTTCAAATATTAATAAAAGTGATAAAGATATTGTTTTCCCATAAAATATTTTTGTATAAATAATAAATTTTTTTTTACCAGCAATGTTTATTTTTCCTGTTTTACAATGCTATTATTATATTTTTGATTTTGATTGTTTTCTTAATTATGAGTTTACCTTAACGCTTACCTTGTTTTTATTTATTTATTACCACTGCTATGTATAAACAAAAATGTTTTAAAAAACATTAAAAAAAATGAAGAAATAAAACTTACTAGTATGTTGAGCCCATTTTCAGAGAATTTTTGAAACAGCTCAATTTCTTTTAGGTATTAGGCCAATAAAACCTTTTTCATAGAATGCACTGTGAAGAAAAAGAATGCCATGTTTTTATTTGAATCACTCTTAAGAATTTTTTGTTAGATTAATGGCTATGTTTCGTTTAATATCGCATGTTAGACTATCTAACATTGTATACTTGTATTGAATGTAAAAATTATTTATTCGTCGAGAATAATTAAAGTCATTTATAAAAATCTTTGATTTTCATAGTCTTAAATCAAATTTTTTGAAGGAATAGGTCAATTTTTTTAGATAAAAATTTTGTTACACGGAAGAGTGATATTATAATAATTTTTTTTCTATTAAATGATTACATCGCTGAATTAATGAAATCCTGTGTTTATTATAAATTAAATATTAATGGCTTTCTTTAATAAATAAATTAAAAAAATAACTAAAAATATATTAAATTCGTTCAAATGAAATTATTTTTACTTCATTGATTTCCAACAGTTTTTGATTGCAATGCTACTGGTTGCGGGATAATGTAGATTTAAAATATTGATTAAATCAATCTTTCTTTTGATAGATTTTGAAAAACGAATGATTGTTTAAAGTCTAAGCTATATCCTTACATTGTCATGGGATGAAAATTGAATGCATTAAAATTTTTTTATTAATAGGTGCACATTAGTTAAAAGTTTTGAATAATTAATTCGTATATTTTAAGTAATTTTTTATACTGTAGAAATTCTCATACTTTTGCATCAAAAAGTTCCATCCTTCCCTTATTAACTTTTATATTTGTAAATCCTCATTGTTTAGCACTTTATTATTACTTCAGAACATTGACCACACTCCTTTATTTTGAAGTTTCGCTAATAATTCAAGAGCATTATGTATAAGTTTATAAAGTTTGTTATTTTACAGAAAAGTTTCAATAAGATCTAAAAATGTAATAATTTTTTTTCTAGATCGAAGAAGTGAAGTCATTGATGAAACCTTGTATTTACGTTTCTGAATTATCTTTACAATGGTTGAAGCAATAAACAATAAAATGTTTCAGAAAACATACATAAAAAAACAAAAAATAACAAAATTTTCACCGTCCCAAATTTTATTACTCTAGTGAAAATTTAGTTCATAAATATTTTGATCTATTATTTGTCGTTGAGAACCTTTAAAGGATTCATCCGTTGTAAAGATTAAATATGTTTCAGAATATGAATATGTTTGAAATGTTATAATGATGAAATAAATATGTTTGAATGATGATTTTACTGGGGAACAAATTTTTGTGTTCCATTGTATTGCTAATACTTGATATTGCTTGATTCGGGTATGGGGATTTCAAATATGAAATTGGCTTTACTCTTAATTCTTTTTTTTAAAATGATATTTTTAGTCTATTTTGTGGAAATGTACACTTTTAGAAACACTTTTAGAAACACTTTTATATGTAACAGGGGGTCGCATAAATGTTGCAATAAACTTAGGGCACATCACCAGGATTAAAATTGCATAGAAACCTATGCTCGAAAATGTTGTCATACGCGGAAACGACGCTTTCTCATTACGACCTGTTTAGAAGCACATGAAAAAACAATTAATAATAGGGAAGCGCCCCTAGGGACGTATGACAACATTTCCTGGCATGAATTCCTATGTAATTCAAATTTGTTCCTCAGTATAATTTTCGGAAGTAACAAAAGATGCTACATAACTTTTGAAAACAAAATGTGAATTTTTGCTAGTAGATGCAAAGTAAAATTTTAAACACAAAGAATGTAATAATAATGCTTTAAAAAATAAGATGAAAACAATTTGTTTTTACTAGGAATCGTCAACAAAATACCTGCTGCTGCTACTGATGCATGATTCGGGTATATTTTTAGATTCAACGGCTTCCATCAGAAGATTCGACATACTTTCCAAGAAATCAGAGTGATCCAAAATATCATCGGGTATTTCCTAGGGATAATTTTTAAAGAAATTTTCATTTAAACATTTCTCTCCATATTTGTTAGATTGTTGAGTTGCTCAGAAAGCAATTTCATTTTTTCCCAAGAGAAGACTTAGTTGTAATTAATAATCATTATAATAATTAATAATAATTATAATCATTATAACAGTGTAATTAAAAATCAATATAAAATATAATTATACAATTTTGAATGCTGTTTTAGAAAAACTTACTTGTGATAAAGTTCGAGTGATTCTACGCAAATGTTTTCGGTTGGTGCTCTTTCAAATATTTTTTTTCCAATGCCCGCCTGGGGAATGACTTTTCGTCATAAAGGCATCTGAAGGGCAGATTTGTTGGCCATTCTTTCAGGGGCACCATATTAGGTGGGCCAACGTTGCTCCCACATTAAGGACAGATAGTACAGAGAAAATAGGAACATCCATGCTTTGCCCGGGATTCAAAAAGATGTATTGACAGTACTCAAGTGCCAAAAATGGCTTGCAAAATTTCGATTAAGATGCATGAAGATGCACTACACCATAGGCTGATGAAGATACAATAAAAGCATTCATTGTTACAAACAGATCAAATTTGTCGTTTTCGACCATTTATGGCAATTTGCAGCGTCTAATGTTAATCTCAAAGCGTCCTCATGTTCTCACGGAAAGAAATTTTTGCCGTCGCATTAGATGTCTGTGATTTGCTTCCCAAACGAAGCTTCTCATTTTGAAATGATTTGCCTCTAATTTTTGAAGAGCAGCATCACTGGGGACGAGAAATATGTTGTTTGGAATATTTGTTTCGGATCTCTTAAAATATTTTTAGACGGTAATACCTTTACTTCAAAAAAGGAAGTCAAAAATCACCTGGATCTGACTTTTGCCAGTAAAAAACAGCAATTTTATGAGGTATCTTGCTGTTAGAAAAATGGCAAAAGGTATTAAACCAGAATGAACAATATAAAATTCAATGAAATATTTATTTTCTATAAGAAGATATATTAAAGTTTTGCACATAATGCAAAATTTTAATTTAATTATTCAGCCAATTTATTTGATAATGTAAACAATTGGGGGGACAACGACGACGACGAAGGTTCATAATATTTATATCACTTTATTTATGTAGCCAAGTATTAAAAGTGCAAAATATTATTTAGGCACAATTTTGGCTGAATAGCTAAACCAAATACAAATGACTAAACCAGATAAGTTTAACAACAATCATGATCATTGATACACAGACACGTGACCTATGACCTCAGCGCCAGCTGATCTTTCATGAACAAGATAGCGTGTAAAAGTCGAGGTAAGTTTCCTTACTTAAGTAAAAATGTTAATTAACGAGAAGTTAATTAAATACAACGTTGTATTACACATCAAATTTGCTAAAATATAATTCTTTTTCGTCAACGACTTTTACTCAACATATATTTTTTATTTGTTTATGTATTTTATCGTAACCGTGATATATTTTTGTTTTGTGCACCTGGCAACTTCGATGCACAATTAATCTTTTTATGTTCTACATGGCTTCGTGCCGGTCTTTGTGTTAAGTAAGAAATATATGGTGAAAGAATTGAAATATTTGTGAACGAATATAAAATGTGTCCCTTAAGAGAATTGATACTTGACGGGCTTGGTTTACTCGAAATAGAATGGAAAGAACAGTTGCTAATGTGAACAAATGCCACATTTCAACAACCAATCAGGATCGAGATATCCACATTATGTCACTTGCAAGCATCCCATTGTTTGCGTGTTCTGGTTTCTGAAGGCACAACAAGACGTTTTCTTATATTATCCATCGCGTCTCATCGCACATTAAAGCGTCTTGTTGTTAATGGTTGCAATTGATACAGGAATAAAGGTAGTTTACCTTTATGTGATGTCCGTTCCTTTGAGTTCTCAAGTTATTTCCGATATTCTACAAATATTCTATTTAGCTTGAATATTTATTTATCAATTTACAATAAGACTTTTACTTTGAATCGAGACATCTATTATATATAATTCTCTTACGTGGCTCCCAAATTTTGGCTGTATTTCTTTTCCGCCGGTGGCAACGTTTGCTTTGTTTTGAAAACACCAAAGCATTCTGCCTTTTAATGATGTGTTTCTGATCTAATATATATAATTCTCTTACGTGGCTCCCAAATTTTGGCTGAAGTACTTTGTACAACTAAATAAGATTCTTTTCACAACA